TCCAATGCTCTCGGAATAGGTTCGAGAACAGAACAAGAGCCATTAGAGTATGGCTTAAACGGTTGATAGGCTTTTATAATCTCATCTTCTACTGAGAAATAATAATACATTCTAGAATTCTTTAGAGGGGTGGGGGCAAGTAAGGTGGAGGTGGAAACAAAATAAACGAGGGGGGGGGGGGGGGGGGGGGGTTGACTTGTTTAGGATATCCCATTTTCAGCTCAAAAAATTGTGGGAAGAAACAGAGACAACAACGTAGAAACTAAAGTACAACAGAAACTACTTACATTTTACCTGGGAAAGGTCCAATATGTATCCACATAATCAACTAAAAGTTGATAAATTCCCAGTATTATCCTTGTCTCCGACACCGAGTATATAACCAATATTACCTTTTTACACCCAGTATATTAGTAATATTTTTCTTGTCCACCCAGTATATTAGTAATATTTTTCTTGTCCACCCAGTATATTAGTAATATTTTTCTTGTCCACCCAGTATATTAGTAATATTTTTCTTGTCCACCCAGTGTGTGTATATTAGTATATTAGCAATATTATTATTGTTGTCCACCCAGTATATTAGTATATTTTTCTTGTCCACCCAGTATTTTAGTAATATTTTTCTTGTCCACCCAGTATATTAGTAATATTCTTCTTGTCCACCCAGTATATTAGTAATATTTTTCTTGTCCACACAGTATATTAGCAATATTCTTCTTGTCCACCCAGTATATTAGCAATATTCTTCTTGTCCACCCAGTACATTAGTAATATTTTTCTTGTCCACCCAGTATATTAGTAATATTTTTCTTGTCCACCCAGTATATTAGCAATATTATTATTGTCCACCCAGTACATTAGTAATATTTTTCTTGTCCACCCAGTACATTAGTAATATTCTTCTTGTCCACCCAGTATATTAGCAATACTTTCCTTGTCCATCCAGAATATAAGTAATATGTGTCTTGTCGACACAGTATATTAGCAATATTATCCTTGTCTACCCAGTATATTATCAATTTAGTCTATGTGTGTGAAACAAGAATATTAGCAATATTATTATTGTCCACCCAGTAAACTAGCAGTGTTGTTCTTGTCCATCTAGCATATTAGCAATATTATTATTGTCCACCCAGTATACTAGCAGTGTTGTTCTTGTCCATCTAGCATATTAGCAATATTATCCTTGTCTACCCAGTATATTATCAATTTAGTGTGTGTGTGAAACAAGAATATTAGCAATATTATTATTGTCCACCCAGTAAACTAGCAGTGTTGTTCTTGTCCACCCAGTAAACTAGCAGTGTTGTGTTGTTCTTGTCCACCCAGTAAACTAGCAGTGTTGTTCTTGTCCACCCAGTATACTAGCAGTGTTGTTCTTGTCCACCCCAGTTGTTCTGTGCAGTGTTGTTCTTGTCCACCCAGTAAACTAGCAGTGTTGTTCTTGTCCACCCAGTAAACTAGCAGTGTTGTTCTTGTCCACCCAGTAAACTTAGCAGTGTTGTTCTTGTCCACCCAGTAAACTTGCAGTGTTGTGTTGTTCTTGTCCACCCAGTAAACTTGCAGTGTTGTTCTTGTCCACCCAGTAAACTAGCAGTGTTGTTCTTGTCCACCCAGTAAACTAGCAGTGTTGTTCTTGTCCACCCAGTAAATTAGCAGTGTTGTTCTTGTCCACCCAGTAAACTAGCAGTGTTGTTCTTGTCCACCCAGTAAACTAGCAGTGTTGTTCTTGTCCACCCAGTAAACTAGCAGTGTTGTTCTTGTCCACCCAGTATCCTAGCAGTGTTGTTCTTGTCCACCCAGTAAACTAGCAGTGTTGTTCTTGTCCACCCAGTATACTAGCAGTGTTGTTCTTGTCCACCCAGTAAACTTGCAGTGTTGTTCTTGTCCACCCAGTAAACTAGCAGTGATGTTCTTGTCCACCCAGTATATTCACACTATCTTGTGAATGGGAGCCCATTTTGCATTTGCAACATTTATATTATCAAATGGTGACATCAGAAATATTATAAGGGATCTTATGACTTTTCTTCCTTCTCACCTTTGAGATGCCGCTTCGCGAAAAGTATTTATTAAATCTATTCCAAGAAAATATCACTTATAAGTAAATCAAAACTGAAGGTAAGAATCACTAACATTGTTTTTCAGTGAGAGAAAAAAATAAAATCGAACACATATAAAACACATGTGACTGCCATTTTCCGTCTGCCTAATGTCGACTTTGTTCGCCTACGTCGCTTAAGTTCATAAGCGCTCGGATTCCATCTTCAGGATATCCCTCAGCGTGTGGCGACTGATAATACCAGTTCTGTGTGCGTTTACTATTCATCTTCGGCTTCCTGTTTAGTGTTCATATTTAGCACAGCTCTTTTGAATTGAAGTTCTTGTATAGTCTTTCAGTGTTGACGATTCAAGGTCGCCTCCTGAATCATCATCTCGTCCTGTCACCTTGAGAATGTCGGCTCGGTCCATTGATTTTCTTGTATCTACCTTGGCCCTGCCAGCAAGCCAATCCGCTCGTTAATTCTCTTTTACCCCAGAGTGGCTTGGCACAAAAATGAAACTAACTCCTTTCAGACTCCAAACATTTTCTTTAAACCCACCCGTCTCTATCTTGTTAAGCATGCTCATGAAATCACTCAAAAAGCACACAGGAAAACTGCTGTGCCCTAGCCACATCATGCTTTTGTTACCGCCAACACTTCCATAGTTAAACTACTTGTAGTTGAGGGAAGCCCCGCTTTCTTCTTTAACAGTTTTTCCTTGAACTAGAACCGTGAAAGTCAATGAACTTGGTACGTGTCGAATGACGGATTCGTCGGTTTAAAAAACTTCACCTCCGTCTGCAGTTTTCACCAATTAAGGCTTGCACTTCTGCCCCAACCACCAACTGGCCTTGCTTGCAATCTCTAGTTTTATGCAGACTGAAAAGGATATACCCAACTCTGCTGGCACTCGTATCCATTCCTCACCAGGTTCTGTGTCCTCAGTTGAAAAAACTTGTTGAATAATGTCCTCAGCCTGACCCACCCAGCGAACCACAATGCACGCTGAATTGTTTGAGCATCCAAGTATTCGTGCCTGCATGGCTGGATAGCAAGCAGACCTGTTACAAGTGACTCATATATACGCCAGACCTCCACCCTCTCAGATAACTTCGAATCATAAACGCAGCCAGGGCTCTTTACTGGTTCCTCTAGAACTGCAGGGATCATTTTGGTTGTCACTATGGATCTGGTTGCCACAACTTGACCTTTATGGATTGAAATACTTCTAAGGCTTGAACTGCTTGCCACACCATTCAACCACCCAATCCAGCTTTTCAGAATACAGCGGGCATGATCTGTCGCTGCCCATTATGATCTTTGTTTCATCCATAAATGCACGCGATGCGATGTCTGGAATTTGTGTCCTGTCTCCCGGTGACGTCTGACATCAGTAAAGAATAACATGTCTGGTGGTGGTGGTTTGATATAAAGGGCCTCCTCACAATCAGGATAGGAACACATGCTAAAGTCCAAAGCCTGCAATGGTGATATTGACTTGTAGTGTCTAAAGTTGTAGAGTTTATACAAACTATACAGCCCAGTGGAGCAAGTAGCTGCTGAAGCTGAACTAAAAGAACAAACACTGCGACAGCAAACCACCACTTGCCAACTTCAGGAAAAAGCGCAACTAACTTGGAGGCTATGTAGGCTTATACTACCACCCTCAACAAGATGCATATGTGCACATCACAGGCACTAGAACTTTCAACAATGAAGACATACAGAGGTTTATTGAGTTTTCTGTGCATCAATTCTCACTCCACTCACACACACACACATGAACTCATTATAACAGACACATAAAAAGCCACTAGTGTATTTATAAAAGAGAGCCTTATCTGACTACATACATACAAGGTCCGACAATTAAGTAATGAGACTAATTCCATAACAATTAAAATAATCAACAGTTGAAGATGTAACCTATATTTTATTCAAAGTAAGCCCCTTGTGCTTTGATACAGCAAGTGGCACGATCTAACATTACAAACACTGGAACGACCTCTGTAGTTATTATGTTGTTATAGCCCTTAAAATCATTGTTACGGCCCCTTGGATGTCATCAATATCGTCAAAAAAAGCGTCAATTCAATGGCAACATTAGTTTTGGGAACTGAAAATAGTCACAGGGAGACAAATCCGGGGGAATAGGGTGGATGGTTAAGAACACGCACTTGTTTTTTGGCCAAAATCGCCATTTGAGTCCGTGCATTATCATGAAAAAGAAACAAATTGCCAAGTGTTGAAGACAAACCGGCAAGCAACTTTTTTTTTTTTTTTTAATTTAAATCTTCTAGTAAAATTGTACGAATAGTCTTTGTATTAATGCCAAATTCATCTACCATCATCCTCACAGTCAAACAACGATCTTCTTGTATCCGTTCTTGGAATTTTGCAATGGGTTCCTCATTACCAACAGAAATTGGGCGACCAGGTCAAGTTGCATTAGTAATCATGTCCACACCATTTTTGAATTGTGAACACCAGCTGAACATCTCTGTGCACGAGATAAACAATTATCTACATAAACTTGTCTCATCAATTCAACTATTGCAATGGTGCTTTTTCTGAGTTTTAAACAGAATTTAATTTCAGCTTTTTTGCTCCATGCTGATTACATAACAATACCCCTCTGACTAGGTTAACAAAATTGCGGTTTGTTTGTTGTCTGCTTATTGGGCGACGATGATAAGTTGCCAGATCACAGACGAAGGTTGCCTCTTTGGATTCCATGCTGTGAATAATAGATGCCATTTGTGTCTTAGCTATAATAAAATCAGTCTCATTACTTAATTGTCGGACCTTGTATAAACGCACATATGCACGCACACACAAACTCATTATGACAGAAATTTGAAGAAAAAAAACACAAGTGTATTTACAAAAGAGAAAGACTTATCTGACTACAGACACATAAACACAAACACATCTGTGTGTGTACAAGACAGACTATTTAAGGAGAGACAGCTGGCCTTGTTTCCGCTGCCTATAGGCACTGATAAATGAGTCCCTCTGCACATCTGCTAGGTGCTGCTCAACTTTTGACATTGCTTTCCGCTTGATGGACTTTCCTACTGGCCGTGTCTGCTTCTCTGTCACAGAATGTCCTGGCTTTGCCATGGCTGAGCTAGCCTGTTCTTTGTGCCCATCGATAATGGCTTTCAGTTCGGGCATTCGCAGACCTGGCTGAAAGCAAACACAAACATCATTCTTATAGAAGGCAGGCATTCAGAGACCTGGCTGAAAGCAAACACAAACATCATTCTTATAGAAGTCAGCATTCAGAGACCTGGCTGAGAGCAAACACAAACATCATTCTTATAGAAGTCAGGCATTCAGAGACCTGGTTGAAAGCAAACACAAACATCATTTTTATAGAAGTCAGGAATTCAGAGACCTGGCTGAGAGCAAATACAAACATCATTCTTTTAGAAGTTAGCATTCAATCTCTAACTGTGAGGATAACTAATGGTCTATCCTCAATCTGTGGAGGCAACTAGGGGTCTATCCTTGATATGTAGAGGCAACTAGGGGTCTATCCTTGATATGTAGAGGCAACAAGCAAGTTAATCCACAATTTGTGGGAGCAACAAGCAGATCTATCCACCATGTGTGGAGGCAACAAGCGGGTTTATCCACCATGTGTGGAGGCAACAAGCGGGTTTATCCACCATGTGTGGAGGCAACAAGCGGGTTTATCTACCATCTGTGGAGGCAACAAGCGGGTTTATCTACCATCTGTGGAGGCAACAAGCGGGTTTATCCACCATGTGTGGGGGAAACAAAAAGGTCTATCTACCATGTGTGGGGGAAACAAGGTCTATCTACCATGTGTGGGGGAAACAAGGTCTATCCACCATGTGTGGGGGAAACAAGAAGGTCTATCCACCATGTGTGGGGGCAACAAGCAGGTCTATCCACCATGTGTGGGGGCAACAAGCAGGTCTATCCACCATGTGTGGGGGCAACAAGCAGGTCTATCCACCATGTGTGGAGGCAACAAGCGGGTTTATCCACCATGTGTGGAGGCAACAAGCGGGTTTATCCACCATGTGTGGAGGCAACAAGCGGGTTTATCCACCATCTGTGGAGGCAACAAGCGGGTTTATCCACCATGTGTGGGGGCAACAAGCATGCCTATCCACCATGTGTGGGGGAAACAAGAAGGCCTATCCACCATGTGTGGGGGCAACAAGCAGGCCTATCCACCTTGTGTGGGGGCAACAAGCAGGTCTATCCACCATGTGTGGGGGAAAAAAGAAGGTCTATCCACCATGTGTGGGGGCAACAAGCAGGTCTATCCACCATGTGTGGGGGCAACAAGCAGGTCTATCCACCATGTGTGGGGAAAATAAGAAGGTCTATCCACCATGTGTGGGGGCAACAAGCAGGTCTATCCACCATGTGTGGGGGCAACAAGCAGTTCTATCCACCATGTGTGGGGGCAACAAGCAGGTCTATCCACCATGTGTGGGGGCAACAAGCAGGTCTATCCACCATGTGTGGGGGCAACAAGCAGGTCTATCCACCACGTGTGGGGAAAATAAGAAGGTCTATCCACTATGTGTGGGGGCAACAAGCAGGTCTATCCACCATGTGTGGGGGCAACAAGCAGGTCTATCCACCATGTGTGGGGGCAACTAGGGGTATCTTCTCCAACTGTGGAGGGGTCTGTCTATTCTCAGCCTGTGAAAATCTAGATTTGAATCAAGATGTTTCCTGGCTGTTTCCCTGATGTCAGTCAGTCAGAAATGACAGCTTGGTTAGGACCAATGGTGGCCATGTATCAGAGGAACAACAGAGAAAATTTGAAACACATTATTGAGTGTGTAGAACATGGAGCAGGGGAACAACAGAGAAAACTTGCAACAACTGCTGCGTGCATGAGTATACACAATGAGAGAGAAAAGCTAAAATTGCAACTTACCCGGTCCAGCTCTGGCCCAGCAGCCTTCTTGGGTCTCACAGACAGAACAGGCGGAGCATGCACAACATCTCCAAACTGAATACTGTCTGCTGGCGAAGATAAGAAACCAATCATTGCATCATCTCAACAATATTATCTGCTGGTGAAGACAAGAAACCAATCATTGCATCATCTCAACAATACTGTCTGCTGGTGAAGACAAGAAACCAATTATTGCATCATCTCAACAATATTCTCTGCTGGGGAAGACAAGAAACCAATCATTGCATCATCTCAACAATATTCTTTGCTGGGGAAGACAAGAAACCAATCATTGCATCATCTCAACAATATTGTCTGCTGGTGAAGACAAGAAACCAATCATTGCATCATCTCAACAATATTCTTTGCTGGGGAAGACAAGAAACCAATTATTGCATCATCTCAACAATATTATCTGCTGGTGAAGACAAGATACCAATCATTGCATCATCTCAACAATACTGTCTGCTGGGGAAGACAAGAAACCAATCATTGCATCATCTCAACAATATTGTCTGCTGGTGAAGACAAGAAACCAATCATTGCATCATCTCAACAATACTGTCTGCTGGGGAAGACAAGAAACCAATCATTGCATCATCTCAACAATACTGTCTGCCGGGGAAGACAAGAAACTAATCATTGTATCATTTCAACAATACTGTCAGTATCATTTCCTGACTTCATCTGTTATCTGAGGGTGTTCTAGAAACATCCACTTTCTTCCTGCTGGCTGTTTGCCTAGCTGGCGATCTACATAATACCACCAGAACTATATGCCCTCTCACTTCAAACGCAGTCACTGTTGTCCTCCTAATTGGCAACAGAGGATGGTATTTCTAGAAAACATGACATTCACACACAACAACATGCACCACTGACCTTTCAAAGACCCAAAATCTAGATTCTTCTCCTGTCTCTTTTCTCTGACTGCTTGCACTTTCTTTTTCTTCTTGTCCTTTAAGCGCCTGCAGACGGACAAAATAACAAACATTCTTTCAAAAGAGACACAAGGACAAACACTTATAATCAGACAATATATGAAAGAAAGATTTCAAGTGTCAGGGTCTTTTAGGAAAAAATCTATTATTGTCATTAAATTATAGTTACTTTTTAAGGTTTTTAATCTACTAATTAAAATACTGTGATCAACCATGTAAAAAGGCTTTCCTATAGTCAACAAATACTGCACTGCAAATGTTGCCTTTGTTAATGTTAACGTGCCAGTTGTCGGTCATTTTTGTCAACGCAGTATGACAAGAGTGTTTAGGTCTGCACCCTGACTGGCTATCAGCTATCAGATTGTTGTTATTTAAATGCTAGAAAGATATAAAACCGAACAAAATGTATATTAGCAAGCTTCACAGTATAAAAATACAGACAAAATGTGAATGTTGCGGGTATGGAGCCTTCATCAGCACATACAAATCAAACAATACTACACAAATACACAAAATCACTTAGCTGGTGTCTCAAAGCATTATTATTTCAATGCTGAAACCTTATTTTATGTATATATTTCTCTAATGGTTTAGATATCAAGGACAGTTGACAAATGAGTTTATAAATGCCAAAAGAACTGTTGTCAGCTGAGCCAGGTTTGAGCAGAGGATAAACTTTAGCAACTTTAAATGCTGATGGAAAGAAGTTCTTAGCACGGCACTGATTATATATGTATGTCAAGGAGTCACTAATGACTGGCGGCACATTAAAGAATTTGATTACTGATTCCATCTAAGCCAGGGGAATTTGTTTGCTAGAGGCTCAGAGATATTTATACACTTCAGCAATAGACAATAGGGAAATCTCTAAAAGAATAGTTGTAGTGCATTTTTCCTCACAGAATGACGCTAGTAGGATTAAGTCACAGAATGACGCTAGTAGGATTAAGTCACAGAATGACGCTAGTAGGATTAAGTCACAGAATGATGCTAGTAGGATTAAGTCACAGAATAATGCTAGTAGGATTCAATCACACTGTGAGTTTGGTACTGTGGACTTTAAATTCTCAATTTCTGATCTGACAAAAGGAATTGAACTCTTCACGTATTAGAGAATTATGTGTTGCCTGATCTGAAGAAAGTTTCTTGTTGGATAGCATGTTAACAGCCCTCTATATATCGACAGGGTTTGTTTTATTCGTAACTCCATTTCGGTAAACTGTCTTAATAATGAAACAATGGCGCACCACCACTGTGTTCACTTGAAACAATGGCGCACCACTACTGTGTTCACTTGAAACAATGGCGCACCACTACTGTGTTCACTTAAAACAATGGCGCACCACCACTATGTTCACTTGAAACAATGGAGCATTACAACTGTGTTCACTTGAAATGTCTGACTACACTAGCCAAATGCAGTCAAACAGAAAAGCCAGCTGACAAAATTAGATTGCTAACACCTAACCCGGAGTCCACGCCACATTCAACTTCCCTTTGGCACAAAAGGCAGATCAATGATGGGAAACAACTGAACACATCAGTGCTTCCACTGACAATGTTTTAATACCTGGCCAATGCACCACAAACGTATTTTCACCTAAACATGGTGAATATGGAAAACCAAACGAGTGATCATTCGCCATCATCACGCATAAATAACAGTGCAGCGGATACCAATGTAAATAAAATTGTTGTACATCACTGCTCTGAAATCCGATCATTAGAGGACAGAATAACTATTCTTATTACTGAAAAGTGCTCAGATTCTGCTTCACAATTTAGGGAAGAAAACTTGGTATTTAAAAAATGAAATAAAGATCTTCAGAGAGGAAAATGCCTATCATCGCATATACCATGCATGAATACTGACCACAATCAAAACAGCAGCCACCAGCGGCAGCAACAGCAGTGATCCAGACGGACACGACAACCACATGCACTCCATATCGTCTCTAGCGTCAAACATGTTATTGTTGACTATTTCCTGATAAAGGGAATTTATTGTGACCGCCTGACATCATCAACCATCGAGACAGTGGCAGTCCATCCACTACCGGGCACAGACATTGATAAACTGACAGCGACATTGCACCGATTTAACATCAGTTCTAATGTGCTGCGAATGACAGTTCGTATTGGAATTAATGACATTATGAACGATCAAGTTTTCAGCAATGCAAACTGTTCACATTGTTGAAGGTTATATGTGTTAAGTTTCCTGGATCTTTTCTGTTCATGAGTTTTATGATAAACCTGTATTATGGCTTTCAATGTCACAAGGCCGACTTAGGTAATGTGACACTACACAAATTTGGCTCAGAACACAATGTAAGTTTTATAAATAGTACCCCTTATTTCACTTCCCCATCTGGAGCACCGAAGAAAAACATGTGTAGAGACCAAATACACTGATCAAAATTAGGAACCAGTATTTTAACAAAAAACAATAGATCCCATGAAAGAACATCTGCGGCCCACTCGGAATGCTAAAACTTCCTCCACTGCAGCTTTAAGTTGCATCAATTTACCAGCCCGTAATATCTCCCAATGTGAACTTGGCCCAGAAACAACAGTGTGTGAGGCAGGCCACCGACCACTCTTGTGTGTGCCCAAACCCTGTGTAACTGCAAATCCTTCCCATTCTTAAACAAACAGCCTTTGACCCCACCCTTCCTACCATCAGCAAGCAGCCCACAGACCAACAAATGATAACAATGATCCACTGCCCACCCACCGGACATGACCATGGACATTTAAAATGAAGGTAGCTGGAAATAACCAATTTGCTGACAATTGTCATTCTGACAGTGATAGTTCATTCTATGTCTGATGCTTCCACTACAGTTGGAAAACTTCAAGGGCTATCACCCTTTTCAAGAATTCAAGAGCACAGCTGCTATTCAACACTTTTCCAAGTTTTCAAGGGTCGCTACAGGCTGTATACACAATTATGGATATGTACAGGTTGAGTACCTCAATCATTAATGTGGCCGAAGAAACATGCAGCCAGCTCATGGAAGACAGAGAAGTCAGTAGAAGATAACATGTACCTACTCTTTTTTCTTGTCACTCATTCCTTTCTTGGGCTTCAATTTCAGGAGCAGTTTTCTCTTGTCGCTCATCTACAAGTAACAGAAATGTCACTCATCAACAATAGTCACAACAGCAACTACAAATATGAGAAATGTCACCCATCAACAACACAGTCACAACAGCAACTACAAATATGAGAAATGTCACTCATCAACAACACGGTCACAACAGCAACTACAAATATGAGAAATGTCACCTATCAACAACACGGTCACAACAGCAACTACAAATATGAGAAATGTCACCTATCAACAACACGGTCACAACAGCAACTACAAATATGAGAAATGTCACCTATCAACAACACGGTCACAACAGCAACTACAAATATGAGAAATGTCACCTATCAACAACACGGTCACAACAGCAACTACAAATATGAGAAATGTCACCTATCAACAACACGGTCACAACAGCAACTACAAATATAAATGTCACCCATCAACAACACGGTCACAACAGCAACTACAAATATGAGAAATGTCACTCATCAACAAGACAGTCACAACAGCAACTGCAAATATGAGAAATGTCACTTATCAACAAGACAGTCACAACAGCAACTACAAATATGAGAAATGTCACTTATCAACAAGACAGTCACAACAGCAACTACAAATATGAGAAATGTCACTCATCAACAAGACAGTCACAACAGCAACACAAATATGAGAAATGTCACTCATCAACAAGACAGTCACAACAGCAACACAAATATGAGAAATGTCACCTATCAACAACACAGTCACAACAGCAACTACAAATATGAGATATGTCACCTAAACAACACAGTCACAACAGCAACTACAAATAGAAATGTCACTCATCAACAACACAGTCACAACAGCAACTACAAATATGAGAAATGTCACCTATCAACAACACAGTCACAACAGCAACTAAAAATATGAGAAATGTCACCTATCAACAAGACAGTCACAACAGCAACTACAAATTTTGAGAAATGTCACCTATCAACAAGACAGTCACAACAGCAACTACAAATATGAGAAATGTCACCTATCAACAACACAGTCACAACAGCAACTACAAATATGAGAAATGTCACCTATCAACAACACAGTCACAACAGCAACTACAAATATCAGAAATGTCACCCATCAACAACACAGTCACAACAGCAACTACAAATATGAGAAATGTCACCTATCAACAAGACAGTCACAACAGCAACTACAAATATCAGAAATGTCACCCATCAACATCACAGTCACAACAGCAACTACAAATATGAGAAATGTCACATATCAACAATACAGTTACAACAGCAAATACAAATAGAAATGTCACCCATCAACAACACAGTCACAACAGCAACTACAAATATGAGAAATGTCATTCATCAACAACACAGTCACAACAGCAACTACAAATAGAAATGTCACCCATCAACAACACAGTCACAACAGCAACTACAAATATGAGAAACGTCACCCATCAACAACACAGTCACAACAGCAACTACAAATATGAGAAATGTCACCTATCAACAACACGTCACAACAGCAACTACAAATATGAGAAATGTCACCTATCAACAACACGGTCACAACAGCAACTACAAATATAAATGTCACCCATCAACAACACGGTCACAACAGCAACTACAAATATGAGAAATGTCACTCATCAACAAGACAGTCACAACAGCAACTGCAAATATGAGAAATGTCACTTAACAAGACAGTCACAACAGCAACTGCAAATATGAGAAATGTCACTTATCAACAAGACAGTCACAACAGCAACTACAAATATGAGAAATGTCACTTATCAACAAGACAGTCACAACAGCAACTACAAATATGAGAAATGTCACTCATCAACAAGACAGTCACAACAGCAACACAAATATGAGAAATGTCACTCATCAACAAGACAGTCACAACAGCAACACAAATATGAGAAATGTCACATATCAACAACACAGTCACAACAGCAACTACAAATATGAGAAATGTCACCTATCAACAACACAGTCACAACAGTAACTACTAATATGAGATATGTCACCTATCAACAACACAGTCACAACAGCAACTACAAATATGAGATATGTCACTCATCAACAAGACAGTCACAGCAGCAACTACAAATATGAGATATGTCACCTATCAACAAGACAGTCACAGCAGCAACTACAAATATGAGATATGTCACCTATCAACAACACAGTCACAACAGCAACTACAAATATGAGAAATGTCACCTATCAACAACACAGTCACAACAGCAACTACAAATATGAGATATGTCACCTAAACAACACAGTCACAACAGCAACTACAAATAGAAATGTCACCTATCAACAACACAGTCACAACAGCAACTAAAAATATGAGAAATGTCACTCATCAACAAGACAGTCACAACAGCAACTACAAATTTTGAGAAATGTCACTCATCAACAAGACAGTCACAACAGCAAATACAAATTTTGAGAAATGTCACCCATCAACAACACAGTCACAACAGCAACTACAAATATGAGAAATGTCACCCATCAACAACACAGTCACAACAGCAACTACAAATATGAGAAATGTCACCTATCAACAACACGGTCACAACAGCAACTACAAATATGAGAAATGTCACCTATCAACAACACGGTCACAACAGCAACTACAAATATGAGAAATGTCACCTATCAACAACACGGTCACAACAGCAACTACAAATATGAGAAATGTCACCTATCAACAACACAGTCACAACAACAACTACAAATATGAGAAATTTCACCTATCAACAACACGGTCACAACAGCAACTACAAATATGAGAAATGTCACTTATCAACAAGACAGTCACAACAGCAACTACAAATATGAGAAATGTCACTCATCAACAAGACAGTCACAACAGCAACTACAAATTTTGAGAAATGTCACCTATCAACAAGACAGTCACAACAGCAACTACAAATTTTGAGAAATGTCACCTATCAACAAGACAATCACAACAGCAACTACAAATATGAGAAATGTCACCCATCAACAACACAGTCACAACAGCAACTACAAATATGAGAAATGTCACCTATCAACAACACAGTCACAACAGCAACTACAAATATCAGAAATGTCACCCATCAACAACACAGTCACAACAGCAACTACAAATATGAGAAATGTCACCTATCAACAAGACAGTCACAACAGCAACTACAAATATGAGAAATGTCACATATCAACAATACAGTTACAACAGCAAATACAAATAGAAATGTCATTCATCAACAACACAGTCACAACAGCAACTACAAATATGAGAAATGTCATTCATCAACAACACAGTCACAACAACAACTACAAATATGAGAAATGTCACTTATCAACAAGACAGTCACAACAGCAACTACAAATATGAGAAATGTCACTCATCAACAAGACAGTCACAACAGCAACACAAATATGAGAAATGTCACTCATCAACAAGACAGTCACAACAGCAACACAAATATGAGAAATGTCACATATCAACAACACAGTCACAACAGCAACTACAAATATGAGAAATGTCACCTATCAACAACACAGTCACAACAGTAACTACTAATATGAGATATGTCACCTATCAACAACACAGTCACAACAGCAACTACAAATATGAGATATGTCACTCATCAACAAGACAGTCACAGCAGCAACTACAAATATGAGATATGTCACCTATCAACAACACAGTCACAACAGCAACTACAAATATGAGAAATGTCACCTATCAACAACACAGTCACAACAGCAACTACAAATATGAGATATGTCACCTAAACAACACAGTCACAACAGCAACTACAAATAGAAATGTCACTCATCAACAACACAGTCACAACAGCAACTACAAATATGAGAAATGTCACCTATCAACAACACAGTCACAACAGCAACTAAAAATATGAGAAATGTCACTCATCAACAAGACAGTCACAACAGCAACTACAAATTTTGAGAAATGTCACTCATCAACAAGACAGTCACAACAGCAAATACAAATTTTGAGAAATGTCACCCATCAACAACACAGTCACAACAGCAACTACAAATATGAGAAATGTCACCTATCAACAACACAGTCACAACAGCAACTACAAATATGAGAAATGTCACCTATCAACAACACGGTCACAACAGCAACTACAAATATGAGAAATGTCACCTATCAACAACACGGTCACAACAGCAACTACAAATATGAGAAATGTCACCTATCAACAACACGGTCACAACAGCAACTACAAATATGAGAAATGTCACCTATCAACAACACAGTCACAACAACAACTACAAATATGAGAAATTTCACCTATCAACAAACACGGTCACAACAGCAACTACAAATATGAGAAATGTCACTTATCAACAAGACAGTCACAACAGCAACTACAAATATGAGAAATGTCACTCATCAACAAGACAGTCACAACAGCAACTACAAATTTTGAGAAATGTCACCTATCAACAAGACAGTCACAACAGCAACTACAAATTTTGAGAAATGTCACCTATCAACAAGACAGTCACAACAGCAACTACAAATATGAGAAATGTCACCCATCAACAACACAGTCACAACAGCAACTACAAATATGAGAAATGTCACCTATCAACAACACAGTCACAACAGCAACTACAAATATCAGAAATGTCACCCATCAACAACACAGTCACAACAGCAACTACAAATATGAGAAATGTCACCTATCAACAAGACAGTCACAACAGCAACTACAAATATGAGAAATGTCACATATCAACAATACAGTTACAACAGCAAATACAAATAGAAATGTCACCCATCAACAACACAGTCACAACAGCAACTACAAATATGAGAAATGTCATTCATCAACAACACAGTCACAACAGCAACTACAAATAGAAATGTCACCCATCAACAACACAGTCACAACAGCAACTACAAATATGAGAAACGTCACCCATCAACAACGCAGTCACAACAGCAACTACAAATATGAGAAATGTCACCCATCAACAACACAGTCACAACAGCAACTACAAATATCAGAAATGTCACCCATCAACAACACATAATCAAGGATAGCACACACAGACAAACACAACACTGGTAGTTACCTCCAACTGTTCATGATCAAAGATAGCACACACAGACAAACACAACACTGGTAGTTACCTCCAACTGTTCATGATCAAAGATAGCACACAAACATAACGCTGGTAGTTACCTCCAACTGTTCATGATCAAAGATAGCACACACAGACAAACACAACACTGGTAGTTACCTCCAACTGTTCATGATCAAAGATAGCACACAGACAAACACAACACTGGTAGTTACCTCCAACTGTTCATGATCAAAGATAGCACACAGGCAAACACAACACTGGTAGTTACCTCCAACTGTTCATGATCAAAGATAGCACACACAGACAAACACAACACTGGTAGTTACCTCCAACTGTTCATGATCAAAGATAGCACACACAGACAAACACAACACTGGTAGTTACCTCCAACTGTTCATGATCAAAGATAGCACACAAACACAACACTGGTAGTTACCTCCAACTGTTCATGATCAAAGATAGCACACAAACACAACGCTGGTAGTTACCTCCAACTGTTCATGATCAAAGATAGCACACACAGACAAACACAACACTGGTAGTTACCTCCAACTGTTCATCAATCTGAGTCTTAGTGAGTGCCCGGTTGGTTTCCTCGTGGACCCGTCTCATGAATTTGGAATCGGTCTCCTGTGACTGTTTCTTAAAGGTGAATGATTCAGTGTAGGGTCTGGGTGGCTGCAGGTTGTCGATGAAGTCGCTGACATCTTTTTCTGAAATCTTAGGCATAAAACGTTTCTTGTGTTTCTTGAGCTGCTGGGCTTTTCCGCTGTTATCTGCCGAATGTTTCTTTGGTTCATTTTTTCTGGATGAGGCCTTAGTTCCCAGTACAGTACTGAACTGATTGTTGTATTTATGGGGCGCTGAAATACAAGATTGAAGGGTGGCATTAACTGCTGGGTGGAGAAATACAAGACTGAAAGGTGACATTAAATGCTTGGTGGAGAAATACAAGACTGAAAGGTGGCATTAAATGCTTGGTGGAGAAATACAAGACTGAAAGGTGGCATTAAATGCTTGGTGGAGAAATACAAGACTGAAAGGTGACATTAACTGCTAGGTGGAGAAATACAAGACACGTTCTTGGACACATTGGATATAGTGACTGACACATTCTTGGGCACACTGGATATAGTGACTGACACATTCTTGGACACAGTGGTTACAAAGACTGACATACTCTTGGACACACTGACTGAAACACTTACCATCAGGATGTTTCAAAAATTTATTCCTACTCTTTTTCCCAACTTGTCCACTCCGGACACCATCAATCGAGAAGCCAAGGTGTCGCAGTTTCTTTGGCACTTCCTGTTCACAATTTGTTGGCTTTTGATTGCATGCAGCCTGGCGACTAAAATATTGTCATGTATCAAAATAAGCTGACATGAAAGGCACAACAACAAGGAACCCAAAATCGCAACCTCAACCACAAACTTAAATCATTATCTCAGACAGCAAAGGATTGATTTTTTTTCTTCACTTGAGCACCAACAGCGTAAGTAGGAAACAAAAAGGATTAGTTCATTTTATTAACTTCTCTAAACAGGTTTATTTATTTAACCTGTTCATCCCATTGAACACATCTTACGTTCATAGGTTCCCACCTAGAAGCCCAATGAACACTTCTTAAGTTTATATGTTCCTACCTAGAAGCCCAGTAAACACATCATACGTTTATAGGTTCCCACCCAGAAGCTTGGTGAACACATCATACGTTTATAGGTTCCCACCCAGAAGCTCAGTGAACACATCATACGTTTATAGGTTCCCACCCAGAAGCTCAGTGAACACATCATACGTTTATAGGTTTCCACCCAGAAGCTCAGTGAACACATCATACGTTTATAGGTTCACACCCAGAAGCTCAGTGAACACATCATACGTTTATAGGTTCCCACCCAGAAGCTCAGTGAACACATCATACGTTTATAGGTTCCCACCCAGAAGCCCAATGAACACATCATACGTTTATAGGTTCCCACCCAGAAGCTCGGTGAACACATCATACGTTTATAGGTTCCCACCCAGAAGCTCAGTGAACAGATCATACGTTTATAGGTTCCTACCTAGAAGCCCAGTGAACACAAGGTGGGCACATTTAAACGTTTTCTTGACAACCCCTTAGTTCTCTGATGCTAAACCCCGTGGACCGAAACAGTTTGTAATTTATGTTACCAGTTTTGTTTTTTTAGACAAAAAAGGTGCTGGCACTCGTTAAAAGATGTCTATTAGCCAGTTTTCACACACACCAAACAAAACTGGAACCAGCTGTGACATTGGATGAAATGTCTTCAAATTACAACTTTCATACATCAACAGATCCGGCCAGCCCAAAAGCCAAGAGTCAGTCAGTATTCACCAATAAGATGTTGGGCTGATATCTGACTTGTTTACTTCAGTGTTTCCTGATGTGCACTTGTCCAGGCAGGTCTAGACATGTCAGTACCTGAGAACAGCTCATGTCCTGTTTACACTGCTTCAGTATTACAGTTAACTGCTTCAGTATTACAGTTAACCGCTTCAGTATTATAGTTATTCTCACTGTAATCTAAACAATTTTCTTTCACTGCAGAAATGAGTCAATTGTTCAAATACAATGTTGTTATATTTATAGAACTGTTTATATCCTGTTTGCACTACTTCAGTATTACAGTTATTCTCACTGTGATCAGAACAATTTTCTTTCACTGCAGAAATGAGTCGATTGTTGAAATGCCAGAGCTCCAAGCTTTCAGTCTCTATGTTCCAAGTATATTATCATATTTTTTTTTGGTCATTTAGTATATTACTATTATGCTGAATTGCTAATAAATATATATGCTATGCTTTCAAATAATATGTATTGTATAAACAAATTATTTAAAAAGAATTTATATAAATAGTTAAAAGTCTTATTGTCAATTATAACATTGGGAGTTGTGGGGGGGAGGGGGAACTCAAGAGACCTGATGCCCAAAGGCTCCGTCCTAAGCCAGTGCTATCTATTTTTAGTGCAGGTGTATATTTTTGGTACTTCCTTCGAAGATAAAAGTCCAAGTCAGTAATGTCTATTGAGAGTACATCTAAGACAGAAGTCCCAGCTGAGACGGTAATGTCTATTGAGTACATTAAACAGCTAAAAAAAAAACTGCACTAATAAATGGCATTGAGAGAAGAATTTGTTAAAAAAAAAAAGCTAATTAATATTTTATCGTCCTTTTTAGGATGAAAATTTTTCGTTATTCAAAGTCCTACTCTGGCTTTTGCCAGGGGCCGCATTATAGCCTGGCCATAAATATGGCCTAAAGGCTGAACGCGGTTTCTAGGACCTCTCCACAGTGATCCTCACCCACATGGTGGCATATTGCGTCATCGGGTGTTTATCGCTTGAGTGAGTGATGTCCTCTTGGTGGGGTAGAAAGTCAGTCAGTCCAGTGCCGTCTCTGGCTTTGCTGGCATGTGCAAAAATATGCTGACAGTTATTCTGGGGAAACAGGCATTAAAAAGGTGTCTGCTGCCAGAAAACAAAAGCCTGTTTATTACCAATCACACAATTATGAACGATGTGTTAGTTGTAGCAATGTGAATATCCTTTAACACTTTTGTACAGTCCCTGGTTGTGTTGAACTGTTGATGTGTATGTGACGTTACAGACTGCTGCAGACACTGAACCAGCACCTGGTCCTCCGATGCCAAACTTTCAACAGACATAGTGATAGTGTAAATCTTTTCAGACTGTTTACATATGTTCATCAATTCTGCACAGATTTACTGCCCACTATCAGTATGTATCTCGATTTCATGCCACAACTATAACATTAAATAAAGGCTCTCCTTTGAATAAGTCCCAAATGATCTACGCAGAAAGTGAACCCAAACAGAGCCTCACTCATATCTAAAATTTGATTTCTTTTGCGGCGAATCAACCGTGTCAAAAGTAGGATTAATTGCGCAATACATTTTCGCGAAAATGCAACTGATTTTTTTACAGGGATTAAACGGCGGCAAAACTAGGATTAACTACGGACAAAAAAAATTAGCGATGCGCGGAATACTCCTGATAGCGCTATCCTACGGCAGGGCCTGAGTTATATGTAAGTTCCGGACCGCTTTTCGCCGACTATACTGCCACATCCGAGAGTAGGGGCTAAACTAGATGGCTAGGGCTCACGAGCAGCAGCTACCGCAGCTCCTGCAGCTTCCTCCAATGCATTTGCTGGGGGATACCCTCGGAGGTGGCACTTTAGTCGCCGCGAAAAAAGTCTACAATTTAGAGGAGCTACTTCTTCTGTCGGAAGTACCAGCGTGCTCGCATTTGCCGAGATCAAGGGGTGGTTGGGATAGTTGAGCGCCATCGTGGCAGTTGCTGGTTTGAAGTTGTCCCGAGGTGACATGCGCGTACATTAAACAGCGCATTACTGATCATGTCTCGCCCGGAATAAGAATCGCGGACAAGCCGTGCTGAGTTGTAATGGCGGACAGCGAGAAAAAACAGATATTTGCGCACTATTTGCAAAGTCTGTGCCACAATTTTCACATATTAAGGATTTAATTTTCGGTAAGTAGTAGACTTTGCCCTTTTCTTTACACTTTTCGTTTCTTATTTTTTCCGAGCTACAACTTTTAAATAAATGTTTGCAGGGCAGGACAAAATGAGGCTCTGTTTGGGTTTACTTTCTGCGTAGATCATTTGGGACCGTTATTCAAAGGAGAGCCTAAATAAATTATAATCAAATTTAAAACAAAATCATTAATATTTTTAATAAAACATAATTTGAGAACCACAAAATAGAAGGGGGAAAAAACCTGCAGAGAGAAATTGAGAAAATATGTAAAACCTGAGACTGAGAGTGTGTACCGAAATCTGTGAAATCATCACAACCCAACAACAACAACTGATTAATTCGGTCCTAAATAGTTGAAGTTGTTTGTAGCCAGATCATAAACAAAAGCCTGAGAGAACATTTATTTTTTAAACTAAAGTACATTTATTATTTGATCTCTCACGTCAACCAAGGCGCTACTTACACGTCCTTCCTGCTGCCTACATAGAATGGATCCACGCATTTGAGTTTCTTATGTTTCTTACTTCTTTGCGGTTTTGCTAGCTTCCCCATGGTAAAAATCTATGGGCTATTTATTTAGAAACCAGAAAATGTCTCAGAAGTCAGAGACTCAGTCCGGTATTGTTGAGCAGCTCAATGACGATTAATAAAATAACCAATTAGAACCATCAGCAGAAACTTCAGAGTACCGACAGTCAGTAATAAATGAGTGTAGATAAATCTAATAGTAGTAGAGGTTCAAATACAACACAGATGGGTCGACAGGGTGAGATCACGCCGTTTTGTTGTTGGCGGAAGTGGTAGCCAATTTCTGCTTTCTAGACACAATGAATTCCAGAGAAATATGACTAAAAAGCTCAACAAAATAGGAAAAAGGAAAACGTGCACAAAACAACACAACGTAACGTTTCGACCGGGCGGCCTTTTTCAAACAGAAGTGGACTACACAAACGAGGAATGGAGAGTATGTAGATCTCTAAGGGTGACGTGAGCGACGTTTAAAAAATTTGATGCGGAATAAATGAAATAAAATAAAATAAAACGATGGCTAAAAAAATATAGTCACAATACTGGGAATAAAAGAAATGCAAGTGTTAATGATACATAAATGATATTGATAAGAAATAGAATATGGTAATGATATGAAATAAAATAAAATAATTTACATTAAAATGTAATAAGATTAGAACTATTTAGATGAAGGTATGTTGGGATATTGATACCTCTTGGACTAAGAACGCCAAGGCTGTGGATAAGGCGATTTTCCAAAGCGAGGCGGGTAGTATGATCGCCAGAGCAAGATTTTAATGCTGTGACAGATATGTCATCTTTACCGCTGTGGTCAGGGCTATTAAAATGAAGAGGGATGGTTTGAGTGTCTTCTTGTCGATATCAGAGAGGTGTTCCCGGAAACGATCAGCTAGCTTCCTGCCAGTCTCCCCAATGTATGCCATGCTGCATCGTTTGCAGATAATTGCATAAATTACGTTGCGGGATTCGCAAGTAAAAGGTTCCCTAATTTGAAAAGAACCATTAGGGAAACTGACCGAAGAAGTCTGGACAACGAAAGGACATGTTTTGCAGGTGCTGCGTGAGCACTGAGTAGTCCCAAGAGGAAGTGCTGTATGGATCGGTGGTGCAACCTTAAAGACATACTTGTCCGAAGCCGACTGCCACCGATCCATACAGCACTTCCTCTTGGGACTACTCAGTGCTCACGCAGCACCTGCAAAACATGTCCTTTCGTTGTCCAGACTTCTTCGGTCAGTTTCCCTAATGGTTCTTTTCAAATTAGGGAACCTTTTACTTGCGAATCCAGAAACGTAATTTATGCAATTATCTGCAAACGATGCAGCATGGCATACATTGGGGAGACTGGCAGGAAGCTAGCTGATCGTTTCCGGGAACACCTCTCTGATATCGACAAGAAGACACTCAAACCAATCCCTCTTCATTTTAATATGCCAAAAAAGTGGCTGACAACAGCGGGTAAAGATGACATATCTGTCACAGCATTAAAAATCTTGCTCTGGCGATCATACTACCCGCCTCGCTTTGGAAAATCGCTTATCCACAGCCTTGGCGTTCTTAGTCCAAGTGACTATATTTTTTAGCCATCGTTTATTTTATTTTATTTCATTTATTCCGCATCAAAATTTTAAACGTCGCTCACGTCACCCCTTAGAGATCTACATACTCTCCATTCTCGTTTGTGTAGTCCACTTCTGTTTGAAAAGGCGCCGCGGTCAGAAACGTTACGTTGTGTTGTTTTTGCACGTTTTCCTTTTTCCTATTTGTTGAGAAGTTTTAGTTCATATTTCTATTGGAATTCATTGTATTAGCTTGACTGCAGTCACCCCCATAGTTTCACCATTTCTAGACACAGGAGAGTGGATCTGTTCATGTGGGGGCATGTGCGTGTCTGCCTGTGTGTAGGTGTGTGGTTTGCGTGTATGAGGGTGTGCGCGTGTATGAGTAGGTGTGAATGTGTGTGGTGAGAGAGTAGGTGTGTGAGGAGAGGGTCAGTAGGAGGCTTCTGCCTTTCATATAGTGTAAAGGGAAAGAGGCAGAGGGATCTTTTTCACTCATATACTATATGTGGACAGGAAGATCTCTTTTACTCATATACAATATGTGGATGTATGAGAGAGTGTAATCATTGGATTTCCCAAAAGGTTCCCCAAATGACGAAATAGGGACATAGGCCAGGGCAACGAGGGGCACAGGGAAAATTAGGGGCAAGGGTTTGAGTGAACTGTTAGAAGACGAAAACCCGTGGGAGAGAAGAGGGGTTGGAATGTGAGAAAGGAGATAGTCATTTGTGTTTGACAGCTGGAGTGAATGGCCCAGTTCAACGAGAGGAATGACTGCTATGAAGTATAACTGATGACTGTTATGAAGTATAACTGATGACTGCTATGAAGCATAACTGATGACTGCTATGAAGTATAACTGATGACTTCTAAGAAGCATAACTGATGACTTCTGTGAAGCATAACTGTTGACTTCTGTGAAGCATAACTGATGACTTCTGTGAAGCATAACTGATGACTTCTGTGAAGTATAACTGATGACTTCTGTGAAGTATAACTGATGACTTCTATAAAGTATAACTGATGCCTTCTACAAAGTATAACTGGTGACTGTTATGAAGTATATCTGATGATTGCATGAAGAAGTCTTGATTCCTGAGGATGAATCCGTGAGCAGAAGCTATCTTGATGACTTCCTTGAACGAATGTGAAGATTTGTGGCGCTGTGATGTAGATGCAAGTCCTTCGCCTGTCAGTCGCATGAATGGAACACACGGAAAGCAAGGTAATGACAGTCTCAACACTGTGTGCGTGTAAAGTAATCATTGATGATTAATCGCATTACGGCGAGTGAGAAACAGGATACTGCAACTAGACGATATTATTGTCGGAACTACAATAAAGAGAAGAAACTGCCGACTGGTGTCACGTGAATATATGTGTGTGTGTGTATTTGCTATCTGAATAAGAAGACATCCCTAACGTCTAGATGTCTAGCTAGAACATCAAGAAAAAAGGAACGCAAACATCGGAGCTTGACAATGGAAACTCAGGAGTTGACGTCTGAGACAATTATATTTTGGATGAATATACTGAACACAAGAATGCAAGAACTGTCAGGTTTTAGCAAATATACAACAGGTAGTTGCTTGAAAACAAACTAAGTCGAAATAATCATGGACAGAGAGAAGGTAATTGAAAGAGGACAGAATATATATATTAAAAAAAAAAACAACCAAATGATGATATAGCAGACAAGATGCAGAGAGTCAGGAGTTCGGAAAGGCCCGCCAATACAGAAAGCTGAAGTAGGAGGGAGCTATAAACCACATGAAAAAATGTAAATGTCCAGGGCCAGATAACATCATAATTAAAGAATCGAAAGCTGCTGGCGAACTGGGTTAAGAAGTTTTGACAACATTTTTCAATGATATTTATAACAGTAGATACGTACCTAATGACCTTTTGAAATCTCTTTGCATACTTTCACCGAAAACACATAGTACAGTGGAAAGTGGAGAACATCGAACATTTAGTTTAATGAGTCATGTAACTGAAATATTAATGACAATTATCATGAGAAGAATAAAGTGCAAAATTAAACCAGAAATTGGAGAAGAGCAGTGTGGTTTTGTTGAGGGCAAAGGTACAAACAACGCCATATTTATCTGGATAACACTTTCATAAAGAAAGATTGACATGAATAGAGCTCTGTATTTGTACTTTTTTTTTTATTACACTAAAGCATTTGATCAAGAGAAAAATATGAAGAAATTATTATAATTTTAGAAACCGTAAATATTGAAAGTAAAGATATGAGAATATATATATATATATATATATATATATATATATATATATATATATATATATATATATATATATATATATATAGAGAGAGAGAGAGAGAGAGAGAGATCTATGCCATTCATATACTATATGTGGATGATTGTCAGAGAGTCAGAGAAATCTTTGCCACTCACATACTATATGTGGATGTATGGAAGAGAGAGGCAGAGAGATCTATGTCACTCATATACTATATGTTGATGTATGGAAGAGAGAGGCAGAGAGATCTATGCCACTTATGTACTATATGGGGATGTATGAGAGAGAGGCAGGGTGATCTCAGCCACTTACATACTATATGTGGATGATTGGTAGAGAGAGAGGCAGAGGGATCTATGCCACTTATGTACTATATGGGGATATATGAGAGAGAGGCAGGGTGATCTCAGCCACTCACATACTATATGTGGATGATTGGTAGAGAGAGAGGCAGGAGGATCTATGCCACTCATATACTATATGTGGATGTATGGAAGAAAGAGGCAGAGGGATCTATGCCACTTATGTACTATATGGGGATGTATGAGAGAGAGGCAGGGTGATCTCAGCCACTCACATACTATATGTGGATGATTGGTAGAGAGAGAGGCAGGAGGATCTATGTCACTCATATTCTATATGTTGATGTATGGAAGAGAGAGGCAGAGGGATCTATGCCACTTATGTACTGTATGAGGATGTATGAGAGAGAGGCAGGGTGATCTCAGCCACTCACATACTATATGTGGATGATTGGTAGAGAGAGAGGCAGGAGGATCTATGCCACTCATATACTATATTTGGATGATTGTGTGAGAGAGAGACAGTGAAATCTATGCCACTCATATACTATATGTGGATGACTGTGAGAGAGAGACAGAGAAATCTATGCCACTCATATACTATATGTGGATGACTGTGAGAGGGAGAGGCATAGAGATCTATGCCACTCATATACTATATGTGGATGACTGTGAGAGGGAGAGGCAGAGAGATCTATGCCACTCATATACTATATGTGGATGACTGTGAGAGGGAGAGGCAGAGAGATCTATGCCACTCATATACTATATGTGGATGACTGTGAGAGGGAGAGGCAGAGAGATCTATGCCACTCATATACTATATGTGGATGACTGTGAGAGGGAGAGGCAGAGAGATATATGCCACTCATATACTATATGTGGATGACTGTGAGAGGGAGAGGCAGAGAGATCTATGCCACTCATATACTATATGTGGATGACTGTGAGAGGGAGAGGCAGAGAGATCTATGCCACTCATATACTACATGGGGATGTATGAGAGAGAAGCAGGGTGATCTCTGCCACTCATATACTATATGTGGATGATTGTGAGAGAGAGAGAGAGAGAGAGAGAGAGAGAGAGAGAGAGAGAGAGAGAAAGAGGCAGGGAGTTCTATGCCACTCATATACTATATGTGGATGATTGTGTGAGAGAGAGACAGGGAGATCTATGCCACTTATATACTATGTGTGGACAATTATGAGAGAGAGAGAGAGAGAGACAGGGAGATCTATGCCACTTATATACTATATGTGGACAATTATGAGAGAGAGAGAGAGAGAGACAGGGAGATCTATGCCACTTATAAACTATATGTGCCCGTCTCTCTAGCGAAGTTGGCTAAACCAGATTTCGCGGTGAGAGGGTGACGAACTCCTTGTGGTCCGGGTTCACTCCCGGGGGTGGGCAGAAAAGCCACATTTCTCCCAGATTTACGGTATTTACAATGGAATCAAGGCCGAAAGGTTGCCATATCCATAATACCGAGCCTAAGGGTTAACAACTCATGGCTTCTGGATACTAAAACAAACAAACAAACTATATGTGGACAATTATGAGAGAGAGAGAGAGAGAGAGAGAGAGAGAGAGAGAGAGAGAGAGAGAGAGAGAGAGAGACAGGGAGATCTATGCCACTCATATACTATAGGTGGATGATTGTAAGAGAGAGACAGGGAGATCTATGCCACTCATATACTGTATGTGGATGTATGGAAGAGAGAGACAGAGCAATCTATGCCACTCATATACTATAGGTGGATGATTGTGAGAGAGAGAGTCAGAGAGATCTTTGCCACTCACATACTGTATGTGGATGTATGGAAGAGAGAGATAGAGAGATCTATGCCACTCATATACTATATGTGGATGTATGGAAGAGAGAGACAGAGCAATCTATGCCACTCATATACTATAGGTGGATGATTGTGAGAGAGAGAGAGAGAGACAGGGAGATCTGTGCCACTCATATACTATAGGTGGGTGATTGTGAGAGAGAGAGGCAGGGAGATCTATGCCACTCATATACTATATGTGGATGTATGGAAGAGAGAGGCAGGGAGATCTCTGCTACTTGTATACTACAGGTGATTGTAAGCAAGAGAGGCTGAGAGATCTCTGCCCCTTCTATACTATGTGTTGATAATGGGAGAAAAGGGGCAGGGAGATATCTTCCACTCATATATTGTATGTGAATGCATGGGATAAAGAGCCTGGGAGACCTTTGCCACTCATTTAATATATGTGGATATATAGGAGAGAGAGAGATTGGGAGATCTCTGCCACTCATATAGTATGTGTAGATGTATGGGAGAGAAACATAGGAAGATGAAACCAGCCAGTTTACATTGAATAATATATGTCACACAAAACAATCTTACCAGTCATCTATGTTTTTAGTGCACCAGAAGCCTCTTGTACATGCACACACATACATACATGTGAGCATGCACACACACATACACACACATAAAAACTGTCAATATAAGCAGAATTATATCTCCTGTCAGTATAAGCATGATTCTATCTCCTGTCAGTATAAGCATGATTCTATCTCATGTCAGTGTAAGCATGATTCTAACTTCTGACCTTAATATATTCTGTCAGTGTAAGCATGATTCTATCTCCTGTCAGTATAAGCATGATTCTATCTCCTGTCAATATAAGCATGATTCTATTTCCTGTGAGTATAAGCATGATTCTATCTCCTGTGAGTATAAGCATGATTCTAACTTCTGACCTTATGTACAAGATTCTATGTCCTGGTCAGTTTGGTCTGGGGTCACAAAACATTTAGAAATAAACAACAAAGTAGCCCTATTTGCTTCACAGATTTATTGCCATCAGTTTTCTTTTAAATCAAACACAAAATCAGTCAAATGGCTTGAACATGATAGATGTCCTCTAGAAATGCAAATATGATTGAAGAACAAAATGAGAAATTTAGAACATACAAATGTTAAGGCTATAAACTATTATAAAAATAAAACTATTGTTAAAATAATATTACAAAATACAACTGCATTATTGAATGATCGTGTAGTGGTGAGACTGTATTATTTTAGATCTTGTGGTGAGATTGTAGATCTCCTAGTGTTGGGATTTGTTATTGTAGATCCTATAGTGATTGTGTTTCTGTAGATTTGTAGTAATGAAATTGTGTTTCTGTATATCTTGTGTTAAGATTGTATTATTGTAGATCTTGTAATAGCGAGACTGTGTTTTTGTAGGACGTGTCGTGGTGAGATCGTATTATTGAAGATCTTGTTGGGGTAAGATTGTGTTTTTGCAGATCTTGTAGTGGTGAGATTGTGTTACTGTAGATCTTGTAGTAGTGGTATTGTAGATTTAGTAGTGGTGAGATTGTAGATATTGTAGTGGTAAGATTGTGTTATTGTAGATCTTGTTGTAATGAGACTGTAGTATTATAGATCTTGTATTGGTGAGGTTGTAGATTTGAAGTGGTGAGATTGTATATCTTGTTGTGGTGAGATTGCATATCTTGTAATGGTAAGACTGAGTTATTGTAGATCTTGTCGTATTGAGATTGCAGATTGTCCAGTGGAAAGACTGTAGATCATTTAGTGAGGAATTTGCAGATCTTGTAGTTTTGAGATTGTGGATCTTGTATCTTTGAGATTGTGGACTTTGTAGAGCTAAAATTGTAGATCTTGTTGAGATTATAGATCAGGTAGTGGTGAGAATGTATATCTTATAAGGGGATATTGCGTTATTGTAGATTTTATAGTGATTATATTGTGGATCTTGTAGTGGGGGAGCTGTAGATCTTTTTGTGGTGAAATTGTAGATTTTGTAGTGGTGAGACTGTAAATCTTATAGCTGTGAGATTGTAAATCTTGTAATAGTGAGAATGTAGACCTTGTAATGATGAGATTTAGATCTTGTTGTAGTGAGATTGTAGACAATGTTGTGGTGTGATTCTATGCTTTGTAGATGTGAGATTTTAGATCTAGCTGTATTAGGATTGTGTTATTATAGATCTTGTTGTGGTGAGATTGTGTTTGTGCAGATCTTGGAATGGTGAGACTGTGAGATTGTAGATCTTGCTGTTATGAGATTGTGTTACTGCAAATCTTGTAGTGGTGACATTGTGTTACTGTAGACCTTGTAGTGGTGACATTGTGTTATTGTAGATCTTATGGTGGTGACATTGTGTTATTGTAGATCTTGTAGTGGTGACATTGTGTTACTGCAGATCTTGTAGTGGTGACATTGTGTTATTGCACACCTTGTTGTGGTGACATTGTGTTATTGTAGATCTTGTAGTGGTGACATTGTGTTATTGTAGATCTTGTAGTGGTGACATTGTGTTATTGTAGATCTTGTAGTGGTGACATTGTGTTATTGCAGATCTTGTAGTGGTGACATTGTGTTATTGTAGATCTTGTAGTGGTGACATTGTGTTATTGTAGATCTTGTAGTGGTGACATTGTGTTATTGTAGATCTTGTAGTGGTGACATTGTGTTATTGTAGATCTTATGGTGGTGACATTGTGTTACTGTAGATCTTGTAGTGGTGACATTGTGTTACTGTAGATCTTGTAGTGGTGACATTGTGTTATTGTAGATCTTGTAGTGGCGACATTGTGTTATTGTAGATCTTATGGTGGTGACATTGTGTTACTGTAGATATTGTAGTGGTGACATTGTGTTATTGTAGATCTTATGGTGGTGATATTTTAATAGTGAGACTGTGAGATTTTAGATGTTGTGCTAACAATATGTTACTGGGAATCTTGATTATAGGCACACATGTCGTCAAGTTGGGTCTCCGTGGTAACCTCTGATGTGTAAACCGAGGAGTCATCACTTTCTGGCATCTGTTCATCCCAGAACTCAGAAACACGATTCACGACCCCATGATTTTCCTCTCTCCACTCGCGCTGCCATTCTCGCAACTCCTTAACTTCTGGTAGACGTCGGACCTGCAGTTGAACCAAAGAAGGAAATAAAGTGACTGCTGACTTTGTGATGTATAAACTAATCACACTATGATATACAAACTACTCACACTATGATGTATAAACTACTCACACTATGATGTATAAACTACTCACACTGTGGTGTATCAACTACTCACACTATGATGTATAAACTAATCACACTATGATATACAAACTACTCACACTATGATGTATAAACTACTCACACTATGATGTATAAACTACTCACACTGTGGTGTATCAACTACTCACACTATGATGTATAAACTACTTACTCTATGATGTTTAAACTACTCACAATGTGATGTATAAACTACTCACAGTGTAATGTATAAACTACTCACACTATGACATTTAAACTACTTTATGACGTTTAAACTACTCACACTATGATGTATGAACAAATAAGCTCCTACCAGACATCTTTAGGTGTAATCTTTGTGTGAAGTACCACATCTAAAACTAACAATGAGAAAGTGGCAAATCTGACAGTGAAAATAGGAACTGCTCATGTGTTATACATAACATAAATGAATTATTATATGTTTACTACTCATGCTTTATACAGAACATAAATGAATTATTATATGTTTACTACTCATGCTTTATACAGAACATAAATGAATTATTATATGTTTACTACTCATGCTTTATACAGAACATAAATGAATTATTATATGTTTACTTCTCATGCTTTATACAGAACATAAATGAATTAACAAGTTCAACTACTCATGCTTTATACAGAACATAAATGAATTAACAAGTTCAACTACTAATGCTTTATACAGAACATAAATGAATTAACAAGTTCAACTACTTATGCTTTATACAGAACACAAATGTGTTAACAAGTTCAGCTATTCCTATTCACACTTTATGGAGAACATAAATGATTTAAAAAGTTTAACTGTTCATACTGCATGTAAAAAATTAACGAGTTAACAAGTTCAACTGTTCATACTATATGGAGAACATAAATGAGTTAACACATTCAACTGTTCCTACTGTATGGGGAACATAAATGAGTTAACAAGTTTGATTGTTCATACGGTATGAAGAACATAAATGAGTTAACAAGTTCAACTGTTCATACTGTATGGATAACATAAATGAGTTAACAAGTTCAGCTGTTCATATTGTATGGAGAACATAAATGAGTTAACAAGTTTAACTATTCATACTGTATGGAGAACATAAATGAGTTAACCTATAAACACAATGTGCCACACACCTTTTAAATATGAAGGAGAGAAAACAAACAGACAGCAAACACAAACTGACCAGGTAGCCCCGCCAGAAAGACTGGATGATGACAACAGCCTCCTCTTCTGTCCAGATCAGTGACTTGGGAAGTGGGGGTCTAGGGCTGCAATGACATAATGTCAAATTAAACAAACAGGATGTTCACAATATATAATGATGACAAGAACATCACACAAACAATATCAAGATGACACGAGCATTACAATACCAATATAAACCAATATATAGATGACAGAACATAACACTAACAATATCATGATATCAAGAACATCACACAAACAACATTTGTTGTCAAGAACATCACATAAACACCAGTAAAAATATTACTCCCTCAACAAATGTGACATCCAACCAATGACACATGCAAACAACCTCTCATTATCTCTGTAAAATACACATGCATGCAAGCACGCACTCATGCATGCACACACGCACACATGCATGCACACGTACACACACATGGTCTTTCACCAAAAAAAATATGTAAACCATATGATCTTCTATCATACACATAAGCATGTGTATGTGTTTTAACACACATAAAATCTCTATAAGGATTTCTGTGACGTCTGTGACACTTGGAGCTCATGCTTTGGTCAACGAGTTCTGATGTGTCATCTGGCTGATGAGTTCTGATGTGTGATCTGGCTGATGAGTTCTGATGTGTGATCTGGCTGATGAGTTCTGATGTGTCATCTGGCTGATGAGTTCTGATGTGTCATCTGGCTGATGAGTTCTGATGTGTGATCTGGCTGATGAGTTCTGATGTGTCATCTGGCTGATGACTTATTATGTGTCATCTGGCTGATGAGTTCGGATGAGTCATCTGGCTGATAAGTTCTGATGTGTCATCTGGCTGATGACTTATTATGTGTCATCTGGCTAATGAGTTCGGATGAGTCATCTGGCTGATAAGTTCTGATGTGTCATCTGGCTGATGCATGAACTAACGCATGGTTCAGAAGGGACATTCAAGCCAGGAATAGGAAGGCAGAGAGAGAGGGTATGAAGGGGGTGGGGGAGGGAGGGGGGAACATACAAGGATAGGAAGGCAGTTAGAGAGAATGCATTCAAGCCTGTTAGAGGAAGGCAGAGAGAGAGAGAGAGAGAGAGAGAGAGAGAGAGAGAGAGAGAGAGAGAGAGAGAGAGAGAGAGAGAGAGAGAGAGAGAGAGAGAGAAAGTACATACAAGCCAGAGTGAGTGTAAGAAATCACTTCTCATTGTTGAGAATATTTCTAATTGTTTGAAAATGAGGACAACAGCAACAACTAAACATAAATTGTGTGCAAGAATTCAGATAGGTGGCATCAATTTCTAATTTTAATGTATGTGTATACAGACTGAGTGAGTGATCCTAACTCAAAACAAACGTGCAGTTAGGCTGATGTGTGCCAGATGAAAATATAGTGAAGTTGTGAGTGGAACTTTTGAGTTCGCGAGAAGTAGAATAGATTATTTAAAAAACAGAGAAAGTAAGAAAGCTCATTCTTGTTTTAAATCCTCTGAGGATCTGGTCCTATGGCACTTGGAGTGTGTGAACTGAATGCATCCATGAAGTAAGTAAATGTATGATCAAGCTATTTCATGAGAAAACTCGACTATGCTGGTAGCATCTTACAATTGGGATGGATGAATATGGTCTGCTGTGAGTTGGAGTTTTCTGATATCAATTTTGCGAGACCTGAAGTGTAAATGGTTGGAAGTGTTGAAAACTAAAACTTTGTCCAGTTAATAAATGTAGATTCAATTATTGTTGTGTAGCCTGTATACCTAGACATCAAGCCTCTGGCTCATTGACCGAGGAAAACATCTTTGGAGCTAATAAATGTTTTTTGACCAGTATAGTTTGTTCATGTTTAGGCTTGCTTTGTTGAATTAAGTGTCAATGTTCCACAACAGGCTACCTGCACTGAGCCACAGAAGGAGTGCATTACAGAGAGAAAGGCAGAGAGAGGGAGAGTGAGGTAAAGACTAACAGGAAGAGAAATAATGAGAGCACATGAGTGTGAGTCAGCATGGAGGTGTTGACATCAGAGAGTGATGGAAGAAAGCATTTCTTACTGGTCTTTAAGCCACTGTTTGACAAACGGTATATCAAAGAACTGCATGTCCTTCCTGTCTTGCTGACCAGCAAGAGGGTTGTTTCTGAGGACAGATGCCAAGTGATCAGTTCTCCCATAAATGTCCATAAACGATTCTATAGTCACATTACCAGTTTTGTGACAAGGCACATGATAATGAAAGGAGTCTATGTTCCCGGTCCTAGCTATCAGACACTATCACTACTCAGACAGTATCCCCACTCAGACAGTATCCCCACTCAGACAGTATCACCACTCAGTATCATCACTCAGACAGTATCACCACTCAGTCACTATCACCACTCAGATAGTATCACCACTTAGACAGTCTCCTCTCCCAGACAGTTTCACCTTCCATCTCTTCTCTGCTCTCCACCTCACATTCTGTAAACCAGTCTCTCATGTCTCAATATCATTTTCCCCTTGATTTACACCTTCATTCCCTCCTATCTTCACACCCCTCCCCCTCCCCCATGTGTACCAACCTCCTATCTGTACACACAATCCTCCCATGTGTACACCAAACTACTGTCTGTACACAATCCTCTTCACCCTCTTTCCCATCTAATCTCTGAAACCAACAAACCTCATCTAACTATAAACCAGTGTATGGACTACCAGATACTTACATGTACAAATATTCTGTGAGGAAGTCACAAGCATTGAACTTTGTCCTTCTTCTCTGAGAAACAAACAGGCAAACAAAAGGATAAACACATGAATAAATATTTATCCCAGTCATGATTCCTTACAGGGCTCAGGGAACCAGACAACAGATAACATAAAGGGTTCAGGGAACCAGACAACGGACAACATAAAGGGCTCAGGCAACCAACCACACAACAGATCTCAGACGTGGCTCAGGTAACCACACTGAATCTCATTCAGGGCTCAGATAACCACACTGGATCACATACATAGCTCAAGGAACCACACAACAGTTCAAATAAAGGGCTCAGGGAACTACACAATAGACCACATTCAGGGCTCATGGAACCACATAAAAGATCACATTCAGGGTTCAGGAAACCACAAAACATCACATACAGGATTTAGGGAATCACACAACAGATTACTTGTGTGGCTCAGGGAACCACACTGGATCACAAATAGGGCTAAGGGAACCAGAACAGAGATCATATGCAGGGTTCAGGGAACCACACAGCAGATCACACATAGGGCTCAGAGAACCAAAGAAATGATCTTATTTAGGGTTCATGGAGCCATAGAATGGATCATATACAGGGCTCAGAAAACCATAGAATGGATCACATACAGGGCTCATGGAACCATAGAATAAATCACATATAGGGCTCATTGAACCATAGAATGGATCATATGCAAGGCTTATATAACCATAGAATGGATCATATACAGGGCTCAAAGAATGGATCACATACAGGGCTCAGAGAACCATAGAATGGATCATATACAAGGCTCAGAGAACCATAGAATGGATCACATACAGGGCTCAGAGAACCATAGAATGGATCATATACAGGGCTCAGAGAACCATAGAATGGATCATATACAGGGCTCAGAGAACCATAGAATGGATCATATACAGGGCTCAGAGAACCATAGAATGGATCATATACAGGGCTCAGAGAACCATAGAATGGATCATATACAGGGCTCAGAGAACCATAGAATGGATCATATACAGGGCTCAGAGAACCATAGAATGGAACATATACAGGGCTCAGAGAACCATAGAATGGATCATATACAGGGCTCAGAGAACAATAAAAGGAATCATATAAAGGGCTCATGGAACCATAGAATGGATCATATACAGAGCTCATGGAACCATAGAATGGATCACATACAAGGTTGACATAACAAACAAGATATTTCCACTGATAAAATATAGGTGGTCTATCTGATAATGGGGTCAGGTCAAAGGTCACTGTAAGGGCATGTAAGATACATCATTAAAGCTACAAAATGTCATCTCCAACTTATAGGCTTTTGTATAGGCACTCGCTAACCAGGAATTGTGGTTGGTGGGCACAATATAAACAGTTTACTTTATGCTGATGACACAGTCTTGATGGCAACAAGTCAGAAAGAACTCCAGGAAATGATAGACATTGTGATGTTAGAAAGTGGAAGAATGGGCCTCAGTTTGAATAATGGGAAGACAGTAGTAATGGTAGTATCAAAGAAACAAATTATTCCTAAATTTGTAATAAAAGTCGATGGTGTTATTTTAGGACAAGTACAGAAATTTAACTATCTGGGCACATGGATAACATCAGATAGAAGATGCATAACTGAGATAAGAAACAGAATAGGACAGGCAAAAACTGCATTTTATAAAATGAAAAACATCTTGTGCAATATATCCTTGTCATTGAGAGTTAGAAAAAGAATTCTTGCTTGCTACATACATCCAGTTTTAACATATGGCTGTAAATCTTGGTCAATCGGTAGGCAGGCCAAACAATTTCTAGAGGCCTCAGAGATGTAGTTTTACAGAAGAATGTTTAGAATACCTTGGACAGCCAAAAAGAGCAACCAAGAGGTTTTGAAAGAGGCAGAAGCCCGAAGACAACTTATCACAGACATCAGAAGGAGACAGTCATCATTTTTGGGCCATGTTATGAGAGGAGAGAAAATAGAACATGTTGTGACCACTGGAAAGATCTGTGAAAGGAGGGATAGTGGAAGACGAGAGAAGATGCTTGACAGCCTTGTTGCATGGCATGGAGGTCTGTCGGCACACGAACTGATACATGTTGCAGGAGATTGCAAATAATGGAGAGGCATTATCGCCCATGCCAGTCGGCAAGGCACCTGATGAGGATGATGACTCACTACTGGGTTCTTTCTCTTGATTGTTTATATTTCTCTCTCTGGTGTGCCCCCCTTTCTCTTTCTTTCTCACACTCACACAAACACACAACCATATTACTTTCTGTATTTGACACTTTAAGTTGTCTCCCTCTTTCTTCCCCTCCCTCTCTCTCTCTCTCTCTCTCTCATTTTGATTTCTGTGTTTCCTGTTTATCTGAGCCTCTTGGGTCGTTGTCACTTCTCCAGTGTTCTGAATCTACCATTTTTATCACTCATCTTGACTTTCTAAAACTCTCTCGTTCTCACTATCAACGGTTTGTTTCATCCACTTGTTATGTCTCGTACTTTTCTTTCTGTTATTTTCTGATCTCCTGTCTGTCTCACTGTTTATCAGTTATCCCATACAAACCTCATCAAGACCACTTACATGTTCCTAGCATCTGGCTTCATAGAATCAACATTTTACACTTCAAACTATATCAATATTTTAAATTTATAACTATCTCAGTTTTACAGTTCAATCTACACAATTATAACAATACACATTAACAATTATTAAAAGATGACGGTGAAAACTCTTCAACTATCACAACTGTGAGCAAGCATAAAGGAAAACTGCCAACAGAAAGGGAACCAGAAAATCCTGTGTGATTTACAGAACATCTCAAACACAGATGTGTCCCATATCTCAAACACAAATGTCTCAAAGATTTCTGCATGTGTCAAATAAAGATGTCTGCCATTGTCTCAAACACAGATGTCTGCCATATCTCAAACACAGATGTCTGTCATATCTCAAACACAGATGTCTGCTATATCTCAAACACAGATGTCTGCCATATCTCAAACAAAGATGTCTGGCATGTCTAAAACACAGATGTCTGCGAGGTCTCAAACAAAGATGTCTGCCATGTCTCAAACAAAGATGTCTGTCATTGTCTCAAACACAGATGTCTGCCATTTCTCCAACAAAGTTGTGTGCCATGTCTAAAACACAGATGTCTGCAAGGTCTCATAGTAGTCTGCCATGTCTCAAACAAAGTTGTCTGCCATGTCTAAAACACAGATGTCTGCCATATCTCAAATACCAATGTCTGCCATGTCTCAAACAAAGATGTCTGCATGTCTTAAACAAAGATGTCTGCCATTGTCTCAAACACAGATGTCTGCCATGTCTTAAACAAAGATGTCTGCCATTGTCTCAAACACAGATGCCTGTCAAATCTCAAACAAAGATGTCTGTCATATCTCAAACAAAGTTGTCTGCCATGTCTAAAACACAGATGCCTGCGAGGTCTCAAACAAAGATGTCTGTCATACCTCAAACACAGATGTCTGCCATGTCTTAACTCTTTGAGTCCCAAGGAACGCATCATACGTTCATAGGTTACTGCCTAGAAGCCCAATGAACACATGATGCGCTGATTTTAGTCTCTTTTGACTACCTCTTGGGCCTGTGATGCTAAACTCTCTGGAACTCAAAGAGTTAAACAAAGATGTCTGCCATGTATTGACCCAGATGTCTGCCTTGTCCCAAACACAGATGTCTGCCATGTCTTAAACAAAGATGTCTGCCATGTCTTGACCCAGATGTCTGCCATGTCTCAAACAAAGATGTCTGCCATATCTCAAACACAGATGTCTGCCATGTTTCAAACACAGATGTCTGTCATGTCTAAAACACAAATGTCTGTCATGTCTCAAACACAGATATCTGCCATGTCAAAAACAAAGATGTCTGTAATGTCAAAAACATAAAATCATGAATGAAAAAAAAAAAGAAAAAAAGAAATAAACTAAAGTTCAAGGCCAACCAAACACCAACATTCTCCAAAACATGAAAATTGTGATAATTCAAGCACAAAGTTCTTACATTAGAATCTAGGTCATCTGTTTCTTCCTGCCAGGTAAAGACACATGTTTTAAAATTCAGGTGTACACAAAGCAAATATGCTAATTAACTGAAGTCAACAGATCATCAGCGACCTCCGTCTTATTCATTATGTTGCTGGCTAAGCTTTTCTATGATTGCTTCTTCACATTCACTGGCAGTAAACTCTGATAGAAAGTTCTGGTTATTAGTCTATTTCAGAACTGTAACCTTGTTCTAGAACATGAGTTTTGTGTGCACATCTGTTTTACAGATATGGCTTATGTGTATGCAGATTATTGTTTCATTGTCTCTCAAGAAGATGCACTCTGACTTGGAAAAAAAAAACACCTTAGAGAATATCCAGGATTATATACTGATTTTTATATGTCACCAGACTTTGCTGCATAACACCAGCAGGTTAAAATCTGTCCACTCAACCACTGTCATTTATTTCTGTCAACTTAACCACTGTCATTTAATTCTGTCTACTCAAACACTGTCATTTATTTCTGTCAACTTAACCACTGTCATTTAATTCTGTCAACTCAACCTCTGTCATCTAATTCTGTCAACTCAAACACTGTCATTTAATTCTGTCAACTCAAACATTGTCATTTAATTCTGTCAACTCAACCACTGTCATTTAATTATGTCTACTCAAACACTGTCATTTAATTTTGTCAACTCAAACACTGTCATTTAATTCTGTCAACTCAAACATTGTCATTTAATTCTGTCAACTCAACCACTGTCATTTAATTATGTCTACTCAAACACTGTCATTTAATTTTGTCAACTCAAACACTGTCATTTAATTCTGTCAACTCAAACATTGTCATTTAATTCTGTCAACTCAACCACTGTCATTTAATTATGTCTACTCAAACACTGTCATTTAATTTTGTCAACTCAAACACTGTCATTTAATTTTGTCAACTCAAACACTGTCATTTAATTCTGTCAGTTCAAATACTGTCATTTAATTCTGTCAACTCAAAAACACTGTCCTTTAATTCTGTCAACTCAAACACTGTCATTTAATTCGTCAACTCAAACACTGTCATTTAATTCTGTCAACTCAAACACTGTCATTTAATTCTGTCAGTTCAAACACTGTTATTTAATTCTGTCAACTTAATCACTGTCATTTAATTCTGTCAACACAAACACTGTCATTTAATTCTGTCAACTCAAGCACTGTCATTTAATTCTGTCAGTTCAAACACTGTTATTTAATTCTGTCAACTTAACCACTGTCATTTAATTCTGATAACTCAACCACTGTTGTTTAATTCTGTCAACTCAAACACTGTCATTTAATTCTGTCAACTCAAACGCTGTCATTTAATTCTGTTTACTCAAACAATGTCATTTAATTCTGTCTACTCAAACACTGTCATTTAATTCTGTCTACTCTAACACTGTCATTTAGTTCTGTCAACTCAACCACTGTCATTTAATTATGGCAACTCAACCACTGTCATTTAATTCTGTCGACTCAACCACTGTCATTTAATTATGTCAACTCAACCACTGTCATTTTATTCTGTCAACTCAACCACTGTCATTTAATTCTGTCAACTCAACCACTGTCATTTAATTCTGTCAACTCAACCACTGTCATTTATTTCTTTCAACTCAACCACTGTCATTTACTGCTGGTAATTAAACCATTCAAATTTACTTCAGTTGAAAAATTAATTAAACTGTTGAATGTTATTTACAACAGTAAAGATATACCTAATGATATGTTGAAGTCTGTATTTACAGCAGTGGAGATATACCTAATGATATGTTGAAGTCTGTATTTACAGCAGTGGAGATATACCTAATGATATGTTGAAGTCTGTATTTACAGCAGTGGAGATATACCTAATGATATGTTGAAGTCTGTATTTACAGCAGTGGAGATTTACCTATTGATATGTTGAAGTCTGTATTTACAGCAGTGGAGATAAACCTAATAATATGTTGAAGTCTGTATTTACAGCACTACCTAAAAGACCCGGAGCAATTAAATGTGATGAATTTCATACAATAAACCTCATAAACCATGTCGATAAACTGTTACTCAGAATTATAATAAGAGGAACAAGAAAGAAAATAACAATGGAAATTAGTGAAGAGCAGTTTGGTTTTGTAGAAGGGAAAAGTAAAAATAATGCAATATACACATTGCGAACATTATTAGAGAGATCAATGGAGAAGCAGAAAGACATATATTTGTGCTTCGCAGATTATACCAAAGCTTTAAAAATAGTGAAACATGATAAAATGATAAAAATGTTGGAGAATATTAACAATGATTGAAAATATCTCAGAATAATACCCCCCAAAAAAAAAATTAAATGGGGAAATAAAGTAGACAGTTATGAACAGATAAAGCAAGGAGTGAGACAAGGATGTGTTTTGTCACCAGAGCTCTTCTCTCTATATAGTGAAATAATAATGTGGGAGGTCAAGGACAGACCAGGAATACTAGTTGGAGGTTATAGTGCAGATGACACAGTACTAATAGCTGAAAACCCTGAAGAAAGTGACTCTTCTTGTATTTCAAAAAAACAGAAACAATGGTTATATCAAAGAAGAAGATAACTCCAAAACGTGACATAGCAAAAGAAGGAAAAATGCTTAATCACGTCAATAAATCCAAGTATTTGGGGACAATCATAACATCAGATGGAGGATGTTTTACAGAAATTAAGAGCAGAATTGGCCAGGCAAAGGTAGCTTTTCAGAAGATGAAAAGCATTTTATGTAATAAATTACTCTCATTAAACATCAGAAAACAAGTATTGAAATGTTATATTGAGCCTGTTCTGTTGCATAATAGGAAATCTTGGAATGTGAGCAAACAAATTAAGAAGAGTCTGGAGGCAACTGAGATGTGGTCCTTAAGAAGAATGTTAAGAATCCCTGGCACTGCCAGAATAACCAACACTGAATGCCTGGAAATGGCTAAAGAAAGTACAACATTATAAACAATGAGAAGGAGACAAAGTTCTTTGGTCATGTGATGAGAAAGGGAAAACTGGAAAATATTGCGATGACTGGAAAGGTCACTGGTAGAAGAAGCAGAGGAAGACCAAGAGAAATGATGGTGGATGGCTTAAGAGTGTGGCATGGAGGAATATCATCAGTAGAATTGATTCAGATCACCAAAGACTAAGAACTGTGGCGACGCATGGATGCCTATGTAAGGATGATGATGATGATGACCTTGACATGACAGTCATAGACATAAATAGTTACAATCATAGACTACACCTGTAGATAACAGACTGTATGCCTATCACATGACAGTCATAGACATAAATAGTTACAATCATAGACTACACCTGTAGATAACAGACTGTATGCCTATCACATGACAGTCATAGACATAAATAGTTACAATCATAGACTACACCTGTAGATAAATACTATATGACTATATGACATGACAGTCATAGACATAAATAGTTACAATCATAGACTACACCTGTAGATAATACTATATGACTATATGACATGACAGTCATAGACATAAATAGTTACAATCATAGACTACACCTGTAGATAACAGACTGTATGCCTATCACATGACAGTCATAGACATAAATAGTTACAATCATAGACTACACCTGTAGATAACAGACTGTATGCCTATCACATGACAGTCATAGACATAAATAGTTACTATCATAGACTACACCTGTAGATAACAGACTGTATGCCTATCACATGACAGTCATAGACATAAATAGTTACAATCATAGACTACACCTGTAGATATAACTATATGACTATATGACATGACAGTCATAGACATAAATATGACAGTCATAGACATAAATAGTTACAATCATAGACTACACCTGTAGATAACAGACTGTATGACTAAGACATAAGAGACATAGACATAAATAGTTACAATCATAGGCTACACCTGTAGATAACAGACTGTATGCCTATCACATGACAGGCATGGACATAAATAGTTACAATCATAGACTACGCCTGTAGATAATGCCATCACTGACAGTATAGACATATAGTTACAATCATAGACTACACCTGTGACAGACATGCCTATCATATGACAGTCATAGACATAAATAGTTACAATCGTAGACTACACCTGTAGATAAATACTATATGACTATGACATGACAGTCACAGACATAAATAGTTACAATCGTAGACTACACCTGTAGATAAGATAAATGTCTGAAATCTTTACCTCAAAGCACTTTTCAATTTTTGCCTTTTTCATCATGGCTTCCAGGGCAGGCAGCAGCCAAGGAAAGATGTAGTAATTTAAATATTCTGTGGGAGAACCTACAACAGGTAAATCTTGCTGATAAACTCATTGATAGATCTGACATGTTACACTCCCAAATTAATCTGTAATGTTACACTCAAGATAATCCTGTAATGTTACACTCACAGATAAACCTGTAATGTTACACTCACATATACTTGTAATGTTACACTCACAAATAAACCTGTAATGTTATACTCACAGATAAACCTGTAATGTTAAACTCACAGATAAACCTGTAATGTTACACTCACAGATAATCCTGTAATGTTACACTCACAGATAAACCTGTAATGTTACACTCACAGATAAACCTGCAATGTTAAACTCACAGATAAACCTGTAATGTTACACTCACAGATAAACCTGTTATGTTACACTCACAGATCAATCTGTTTTGTTACTCCCACAGATAAACCTGTAATGTTATACTCACAGATAAACCTGTAATGTTACACTCACAGATAAACCTGTTATGTTACACTCTCAGATCAATCTGTTTTGTTACTCCCACAGATAAACCTGTAATGTTACACTCACAGATAATCCTGTAATGTTACACTCACATATACTTGTAATGTTACACTCACATATAAACTGCTGATAAACTCATTGATAGATCTGACATGTTACACTCCCAAATTAATCTGTAATGTTACACTCACAGATAAACCTGTAATGTTACACTCACAGATAATCCTGTAATGTTACACTCACATATACTTGTAATGTTACACTCACAAATAAACCTGTAATGTTATACTCACAGATAAACCTGTAATGTTAAACTCACAGATAAACCTGTTATGTTACACTCTCAGATCAATCTGTTTTGTTACTCCCACAGATAAACCTGTTATGTTACACTCACAGATAAACCTGTTATGTTACACTCACAGACAAACCTGTTATGTTACACTCACAGATAAACCTGTTATGTTACACTCACAGATAAACCTGTAATGTTACACTTTCAGATAAACCTGTTATGTTAGACTCACAGATAAACCTGGTATACTTACAGATAAGCCTGCAATGTTACACTCACAAATAAACCTTCTATGTTACATTCACAGATAATACGGTTACATACATTCATAACATAACCTTTGACCCATTAGGGTCATGGAGGTGTACTGATGGAAGCACTAGCACATACAACCCACCATCTTTCTGTCTTCCGCTTTGATGAATAAGTGTATGATAACTTAGTTCAGTCTATTTCTTGATGTTGTCATTCCAGGTTCTTCTTTGCCCTCCTCTTCTTCGACTACCGCACAATGTTTCTGGATGTCTTTGCAACTGAATCATGTCTCACCACATACCCAAAACACGATAGCTTGCAACATATCAGTGTTACACTCAATAAAATCTGATATGTTACACTCACAGATAATACTGTTATACTTACAGATAAACCTGTAATGTTACACTCACAGATAATACTGTTATACTCACAGATAATACTGTTACACTCACAGATAATACTGTTACACTCACAGATAATACTGTTACACTCACAGATAATAATGTTACACTCACGGATAATACTGTTACACTCACAGATAATACTTTCAAACTCACAGATAAATTTGTTATGTTACACTCACATATAATACTGTTACACTCACAGATAATACTGTTACACTCACAGACAGACCTATAATGTTACATTCACATACACACCTGTAATGTTAAACTCACAGATAATACTGCTACACTCACAGATAAATCTGTTATGTTACACTCACAGATAATACTGTTACACTCACAGATAATACTGTTACACTCACATACACACCAGTAATGTTACATTTACATACACACCTGTAATGTTACACTCAGAGATAATACTGTTACACTCACAGATAATACTGTTACACTCACAGATAAATCTGTTATGTTACACTCACAGATAATACTGTTACACTCACAGATAATACTGTTACACTCACACACAAACCTGTAATGTTACACTCAGAGATAATACTGTTACACTCACAGAGACACCTGTAAGGTTACACTCACAGATAATACTGTAACACTCACACACACTTGTGATGTTACACTCACAGATAAACCTGTAATGTTACACTCACAGATAATACTGTGCACTCACAGATAAACCATTATGTTAAACTCACAGATAAACCGGTTAGGAGGAATCGCGGCCGGGTGCCTGTCAACCTTGGGAGGTTTGCTAGTAAAGCTGTAGCCAATACAGGAAGGATGACTGAGTGCCGAATCAAACTCTGCATACACGTCTGCATCTGTGGCCACCTTGGCAAACATGCGTCCATAAAACACAGGATTATGTCTTGCCGGATTGAAGTCTTCATAATCTGTTGCCACAGATCCACCATCATCATCTTCATCAACAGCCAGCCTTTGTTTGGCAAATTCTGGGGAGAACAAAATGATTGTCTTCTACAGTATATGTGTGGTTGCATACAGTAACTGTACAGTTACACAATAATCTAAACCTGTAGCGCTGCCAATGTGGAGGACTCAGTCCAGCATTTCTGAACTGATTGATCTCATACAGTAACTGTACAGTTGAACAATAATCTAGACCTGTAGCGCTGCCAAGGTTGAGGACTCAGTCCAGCAGGTATTTGAACTGGTTGAGCTCATACAGTAACTGTACAGTTACACAATAATCTAGACCTGTAGCGCTGCCAATGTGGAGGACTCAGTCCAGCATTTCTGAACTGATTGATCTCACACAGTAACTGTACAGTTGAACAATAATCTAGACCTGTAGCGCTGCCAAGGTTGAGGACTCAGTCCAGCAAGTATTTGAACTGGTTGAGCTCATACAGTAACTGTACAGTTAAACAATAATCTAGACCTGTAGCGCTGCCAAGGTTGAGGACTCAGTCCAGCAGGTATTTGAACTGGTTGAGCTCATACAGTAACTGTATAGTTACACAATAATCTAGACCTGTAGCGCTGCCAAGGTTGAGGACTCAGTCCAGCAGGTATTTGACCTGGTTGAGCTCATACAGTAACTGTATAGTTACACAATAATCTAGACCTGTAGCGCTGCCAAGGTTGAGGACTCAGTCCAGCATTTCTGAACTGATTGATCTCATACAGTAACTGTACAGTTAAACAATAATCTAGACCTGTAGCGCTGCCAAGGTTGAGGACTCAGACCAGCAGGTATTTGACCTGGTTGAGCTCATACAGTAACTGTATAGTTAAACAATAATCTAGACCTGTAGCGCTGCCAAGGTTGAGGACTCAGTCTAGCAGGTTTTTGAACTGATTGATCTCATACAGTAACTGTACAGTTACACAATAATCTAGACCTGTAGCGCTGCCAAGGTTGAGGACTCAGACCAGCAGGTATTTGACCTGGTTGAGCTCATACAGTAACTGTATAGTTACACAATAATCTAGACCTGTAGCGCTGCCAAGGTTGAGGACTCAGTCCAGCATTTCTGAACTGATTGATCTCATACAGTAACTGTACAGTTACACAATAATCTAGACCTGTAGCGCTGCCAAGGTTGAGGACTCAGTCCAGCATTTCTGAACTGATTGATCTCATACAGTAACTGTACAGTTACACAATAATCTAGACCTGTAGCGCTGCCAAGGTTGAGGACTCAGACCAGCAGGTATTTGAACTGGTTGAGCTCATACAGTAACTGTATAGTTACACAATAATCTAGACCTGTAGCGCTGCCAAGGTTGAGGACTCAGTCCAGCATTTCTGAACTGATTGATCTCATACAGTAACTGTACAGTTACACAATAATCTAGACCTGTAGCGCTGCCAAGGTTGAGGACTCAGACCAGCAGGTATTTGAACTGGTTGAGCTCATAAACAGAAAACAAATTTATAACCATTCTAAGGTAATAATCACAATGGGCATGTACTGCAAACCCCCAATGTCCGCAGCCATATATAAAGGCACTGTTACATCAGCACTGATAAAGGCACTGATACATCAGCATTGATAAAGGTACTGATACATCAGCATTGATAAAGGCACTGATACATCAGCATTGATAAAGGCACTGATACATCAGCACTGATAAAGGCACTGATACATCAGCATTGATAAAGGGACTGATACATCAGCATTGATAAAATCACTGATACATCAGCATTGATAAAGGCACTGATACATCAGCATTGATAAAGGCACTTATACATCAGCATTGATAAAGGCACTGATACATCAGCATTGATAAAGGCACTGATACATCAGCATTGATAAAGGCACTAATACATCAGCATTGATAAAGGCACTGATACATCAGCATTGATAAAGGCACTGATACATCAGCATAGATAAAGGCACTAATACATCAGCACTGATAAAGGCACTGATACATCAGCATTGATAAAGGCACTGATATATCAGCATTGATAAAGGCACTAGTACATCAGCATAGATAAAGGCACTGATACATCAGCATTGATAAAGGCACTGATACATCAGCATTGATAAAGGCACTGATACATCATCATAGAAAAAGGCACTTATACATCAGCATTGATAAAGGTACTGATACATCAGCATAGATAAAGGCACTGATACATCAGCATAGATAAAGGCACTGATACATCAGCATAGATAAAGGCACTTATACATCAGTATAGATAAAGGCATTGATACATCAGCATAGATAAAGGCACTGATACATCATCATTGATAAAGGCACTGATACATCATCATAGAAAAAGGCACTGATACATCAGCATAGATAAAGGCACTTATACATCAGCATAGATAAAGGCACATACATCAGCATTGATAAAGGCACTGATACATCAGCATAGATAAAGGCACTTATACATCAGCATAGATAAAGGTACTGATACATCAGCATTGATAAAGGCACTGATACATCAGCATAGATAAAGGCACTGATACATCAGCATAGATAAAGGCACTTATACATCAGCATAGATAAAGGCACATACATCAGCATTGATAAAGGCACTGATACATCAGCATAGATAAAGGCACTGATATATCAGCATTGATAAAGGCACTGATACATCAGCATTGATAAAGGCACTGATACATCAGCACTGATAAAGGCACTGATACATCAGCATTGATGTCAGGTCGGCATCATCACTTACACGGATGGATAAAGCGTGGGTCAAGGTCAGCAGGGATATACATAGCACAAAGGAATGAGAAAACAATACAAGAGGATAACAGTGTTTACCAGGTAACTATGTCTTCAGAACATTCACATGGGCAGCAGAACAACAGTGATAATATCAGACTATGAACATGCTTCCTAAATCGCAAAAGGCGGCCTCCACTTTAGATGTATAGACAGCACTCAGAAGCCAGACTTAACCTCCCTCCCTCCCTGGATCTACACAGCTGGGCATGCCTAGAAAAGAGGTGATGATCGAGTGGACCAGTTGGCAAGTACTGTACAGCTGTATGTAGGAAGAAGCATGAGGTGATGATCGAGTGGACCAGTTGGCAAGTACTGTACAACTGTATGTAGGAAGAAGCATGAGGTGATGATCGAGTGGACCAGTTGGCAAGTACTGTACAACTGTATGTAGGAAGAAGCATGAGGTGATGATCGAGTGGACCAGTTGGCAAGTACTGTACAACTGTATGTAGGAAGGAGCATGAGGTGATGATCTAGTGGACCAGTTGGCAAGTACTGTACAACTGTATGTAGGAAGAAGCATGGGGTGATGATTGAATGGACCAGTTGGCAAGTACTGTACAACTGTATGTAGGAAGAAGCATGAGGTGATGATTGAATGGACCAGTTGGCAAGTACTGTACAACTGTATGTAGGAAGAAGCATGAGGTGATGATCGAGTGGACCAGTCGGCAAGTACTGTACAACTATATGTATGAAGAAGCATGGGGTGATGATCGACTGGACCAGTCGGCAAGTACTGTACAACTATATGTAGGAAGAAGCATGAGGTGATGATCGAATGGACCAGTTGGCAAGTACTGTACAACTGTATGTAGGAAGAAGCATGAGGTGATGATCGAGTGGACCAGTCGGCAAGTACTGTACAACTATATGTATGAAGAAGCATGGGGTGATGATCGACTGAAGTACTGTACAACTATATGTAGGAAGAAGCATGAGATGATGATCGAGTGGACCAGTTGGCAAGTAGTGTACAACTATATGTAGGAAGAAGCATGAGGTGATGATCGAGTGGACCAGTCGGCAAGTACTGTACAACTATATGTATGAAGAAGCATGGGGTGATGATCGACTGGACCAGTCGGCAAGTACTGTACAACTATATGTAGGAAGAAGCATGAGATGATGATCGAGTGGACCAGTTGGCAAGTAGTGTACAACTATATGTAGGAAGAAGCATGAGTGATGATCGAGTGGACCAGTCGGCAAGTACTGTACAACTGTATGTATGAAGAAGCATGAGGTGATGAGGTAGCCAGAGACAAGTCTCAGATGCTGACTTAATTACATGACCTTGGAATAAAGAACAGTGAAGCTCGTTTATGCTTAGAACAAGACAATATACATTATAACCAATTTCTCATTAAAAAGTCAGTAGAGGCTCTTTGGGGTGGCTGCTGCACTAGAGGACTGAGCATGCATGGGAATGTCCAATGTGCAATGATGTTGATTATAATAAAAATAACCTCAAGTGCTGGCAGGTTGGGCACAGTGAGTAGAGAAGTGGAGAACAAGGCAAGTAACAACATTATGGATAATCTTATCAATACAAATATGAAATATTAGTTTGTGCAGTATGCTGCATTTTTCTTATGTTTTAGAAATGTTCCAGTTTCTCAGTTACACAATCTGGCAACTACATGTAAGGGCATGGTGTCCTCAGTTGGCATCATCATTGCTAGGACACTTCTAGTTTTAAAACAAAAATCCCATCCATCTGCACCTCAAGGATAAGATAAAACTGTGTAGGCAGTGCAGCCCCTTAGGGTTTAGGTGAAGCTGTGTTGGCAGTTAAGTCCTCTGGGCGCCAGAGTTCCCAAGGTGTAAACAGAGCGATTTTCAAGAGACTTGCCAACTCTGTCACTGGAATGGCTAGATCTAATTGCTGTCACCTTCATGTCGTGGACACCTCTGTGGTCATAGGAATTGAAATGCAGTGGTACTGGTTTCAGGGTGCCACTCTGCACGTCCTAAAGATGTTGTCTGAACCTGTCAGCCAGTTTTAAATCCATTTCACCGATGTATTTAATGCCACATCTCTTGCAGTTGATGGCATAAATTACATTACTGTTTGTGCAATAGACAGCTTCACGAATGTGGAAAGTGGCATTCAGGAATCTTAGGCTGGTACCCTGAACCACATATGGACAGGTCCTGCATTCAGGTCTATGACAAGAGACCGTCCCGAAGTGGAGGTCGGAGGCAGGACGTAACCGACTCTTAACTAGAATGTCCTTGAGGTTACGGTAAAGAGCCCAAGTTTTTATATTTTGGTGCATGGGCATATTGTTGTAGAGAGGGAGAGACACACAGCACACCACACACACACAAGAAATACAGAAAAACCACCGAGAGGCGACGACCCACCTGCACAAATCTGCTCCCAGAGACTAGGCTCGGGCGCCGAGACGATAATTGACATGTTGAATGTTGTCTGCCTGCCGTTGGGCGTTAGTGTTTGTTGTCGCCGACAAGACAGTGGACAGTGTCAGCTGTTAGATGTACACTCAGACACAGAACACTCAGTAATGTATTGGCATATGCGTATAAACAGTGACTAAATGGAGATCTCACGTCTATGTGGGGGGGCGAGCGTCTACAGATCGATAACAACAAAACACAACTGCGTGGTTTCTGTCGGCAGCGAGACTTTTGCCTACGGTTGACACACAGCGCTATGTTGCCTGGCAACAAGACTGATAACTCAGCTCAATGTGGCGGTGACTGCCCTTGGTCTAAAGTTGTCAATTTGTGACCATGTTCTAGGAAATAAAAGTTGCCGGAAACGTGCTATTGATCCCAGTAATAAGTGGTCACCGATTTGTTTACAATACGGCATTAGCAAGATATGCCAAGCATACATTGAAGCTGTGAAAATTAGACCACATTTTTTCTTTCAGTTGTCGTTACAGTCCACGAAAACATAGTGACTAAGTTGTCAGTTCAGGAGACAGTAGTCACCTGTCAGCGTGTAGTCCCTAAATGTCAGTTACAGTATATAGCAAAATGGGATAGTAGTCCCTAGTGTCAGTTACAGTAGAGAGAAAAAACATAGTACAGTGTCAGTTACAGTAGAGAGAAAACATAGTCCCTAAGTGTCAGTTACAGTAGAGAGAAAATATAGTCCCTAAGTGTCAGTTACAGTAGAGAGAAAATATAGTCCCTAAGTGTCAGTTACAGTAGAGAGAAAACATAGTCCCTAAGTGTCAGTTACAGTAGAGAGAAAAACATAGTCCCTAAGTGTCAGTTACAGTAGTCAGTTACAGTAGAGAGAAAAAAATATAGTCCCTAAGTGTCAATTACAGTAGAAAGAATATATAGTCCCTAAGTGTCAGTTACAGTAGAGAGAAAACAATAGTCCCTAAGTGTCAATTACAGTAGAGAGAAAAACATAGCCCCTAAGAGTCAATTACAGAAGAGAGAAAATATAGTCCCTAAGTGTCAATTACAGTAGAGAGAAAAACATAGCCCCTAAGTGTTAATTACAGAAGAGAGAAAATATAGTCCCTATAGTATAGTCCCTAAGTGTCAGTTACAGTAGAGAGAAAACATAGTATCTAAGTGTCAGTTACAGTAGAGAGAAAGTAGAGAGAAAAGTCCCTAAGTGTCAGTTACAGTAGAGAGAAAAAATAGTCCATAGTCCCTAAGTGTCAGTTACAGTAGAGAGAAAATATGTCCCCCTAAGTAGTCCCTAAGTGTCAGTTACAGTAGAGAGAAAATATAGTCCCTAAGTGTCAGTTACAGTAGAGGAAAAATATAGTCCCTAAGTGTCAGTTACAGTTGAGAAAACATAGTCCCTAAGTCAGTTACAGTAGAGAAAAACTAAGTGTAGTCCCTAAGTGTCAGTGTCAGTACAGAGAGAAAACATAGTCCCTAAGTGTCAGTTACAGTAGAGAGAAAACATAGTCCCTAAGTGTCAGTTACAGTAGAGAGAAAACATAGTCCCTAAGTGTCAGTTACAGTAGAGAGAAAATATAGTCCCTAAGTGTCAGTTACAGTAGAGAGAAAATATAGTCCCTAAGTGTCAGTTACAGTAGAGAGAAAACCATAGTCCCTAAGTGTCAGTTACAGTAGAGAGAAAACATAGTCCCTAAGTGTCAGTTACAGTAGAGAGAAAACCATAGTCCCTAAGTGTCAGTTACAGTAGAGAGAAAATATAGTCCCTAAGTGTCAGTTACAGTAGAGAGAAAATATAGTCCCTAAGTGTCAGTTACAGTAGAGAGAAAATATAGTCCCTAAGTGTCAGTTACAGTAGAGAGAAAATATAGTCCCTAAGTGTCAGTTTACAGTAGAGAGAAAAACTTTGTCCCTAAGTGTCAGTTACAGTAGAGGGAAAATATAGTCCCTAAGTGTCAGTTACAGTAGATAGAAAATATAGTCCCTAAGTGTCATTTACATTAGAGGGAAAATATAGTCCTTAAGTGTCAGTTACAGTAGAGAGAGAAAACATAGTAGTTACAGTAGAGAGAAAATATAGTCCCTAAGTGTCAGTTACAGTAGAGAGAGAAAACCATAGTCCCTAAGTGTCAGTTACAGTAGAGAGAAAACATAGTCCCTAAGTGTCAGTTACAGTAGAGAGTGTATAGTCCCTAAGTGTCAGTTACAGTAGAAAGAAAAACCATTGTACCTAAGTGTCAGTTACAGTAGAGAGAAAATATAGTCCCTAAGTGTCAGTTACAGTAGAGAGAAAAACATAGTCCCTAAGTGTCAGTTACAGTAGAGAGAAAATATAGTCCCTAAGTGTCAGTTACAGTAGAGAGAAAATATAGTCCCTAAGTGTCAGTTACAGTAGAGAGAAAACCATAGTCCCTAAGTGTCAGTTACAGTAGAGGGAAAATATAGTCCCTAAGTGTCAGTTACAGTAGAGAGAAAACCATAGTCCCTAAGTGTCAGTTACAGTAGAGAGAAAATATAGTCCCTAAGTGTCATTTACAGTAGAGGGAAAATATAGTCCTTAAGTGTGTTACAGTAGAGGGAAAAAAAAGTCCCTAATTGTCAGTTACAGTAGATAGAAAACCATAGTCCCCAAGTGTCAGTTACAGTACAAAGAAAATATAGTCCCTAAGTATCAGTTACAGTAGAGAGAAAACCATAGTCCCTAAGTGTCAGTTACAGTAGAGAGAAAATATAGTCCCTAAGTGTCAGTTACAGTAGAGAAAACATAGTCCCTAAGTGTCAGTTACAGTAGAGAAAAAATAGTCCCTAAGTGTCAGTTACAGTAGAGAGAAAACCATAGTCCCTAAGTGTCAGTTACAGTAGAGAGAAAACATAGTCCCTAAGTGTCAGTTACAGTAGAGAGAAAATATAGTCCCTAAGTGTCAGTTACAGTAGAGAGAAAATATAGTCCCTAAGTGTCAGTTACAGTAGAGAGAAAATATAGTCCCTAAGTGTCAGTTACAGTAGAGAGAAAACCATAGTCCCCAAGTGTCAGTTACAGTAGAGAGAAAACCATAGTCCCTAAGTGTCAGTTACAGTAGAGAGAAAATATAGTCCCTAAGTGTCAGTTACAGTAGAGAGAAAAATATAGTCCCTAAGTGTCAGTTACAGTAGAGAGAAAATATAGTCCCTAAGTGTCAGTTACAGTAGAGAGAAAAATATAGTCCCTAAGTGTCAGTTACAGTAGAGAGAAAACCATAGTCCCTAAGTGTCAGTTACAGTAGAGAGAAACATAGTCCCTAAGTGTCAGTTACAGTAGAGAGAAAACATAGTCCCTAAGTGTCAGTTACAGTAGAGAGAAAATGTAGTCCCTAAGTGTCAGTTACAGTAGAGAGAAAATATAGTCCCTAAGTGTCAGTTACAGTAGAGAGAAAAATATAGTCCCTAAGTGTCAGTTACAGTAGAGAGAAAATATAGTCCCTAAGTGTCAGTTACAGTAGAGAGAAAAACATAGTCCTAAGTGTCAGTTACAGTAGAGAGAACAACATAGTCCCTAAGTGTCAGTTACAGTAGAGTCAGTACAGTAGAGAGAAAATATAGTCCCTAAGTGTGTCAGTTACAGTAGAGAGAAAACATAGTCCCTAAGTGTCAGTTACAGTAGAGAGAAAATATAGTCCCTAAGTGTGTCAGTTACAGTAGAGAGAAAATATAGTCCCTAAGTGTCAGTTACAGTAGAGAAAAAAATATAGTCCCCTAAGTGTCAGTTACAGCAGAGAGAAAACATAGTCCTAAGTGTCAGTTACAGTAGAGAGAAAACATAGTCCCTAAGTGTCAGTTACAGTAGAGAGAAAACATAGTCCTAAGTGTGAGTTACAGTAGAGGGAAAATATGGTCCCTAAGTGTCAGTTACAGTAGAGAGAAAAATAGTCCCTAAGTGTCACTTACAGTAGAGAGAAAACATAGTCCCTAAGTGTCAGTTAGAGTAGAGAGAAAACATAGTTCCTAAGAGTCAGTTACAGTAGAGAGAAAAACATAGTCCCTAAGTGTCAGTTACAGTAGAGAGAAAATATAGTTCCTAAGTGTCAGTTACAGTAGAGTGAAAATGTAGTCCCTAAGTGTCAGTTACAGTAGAGAGAAAATATGTTTCCTAAGTGTCAGTTACTTTAGAGAGAAAATATAGTCCCCAAGTGTCAGTTACAGTAGAGAGAAAAAGTCCCTAAGTGTCAGTTACAGTCCCTAAGTGTCAGTTTACAGTAGAGAGAAAATATAGTCCCTAAGTGTCAGTTACAGTAGAGAGAAAAATATAGTCCCTAAGTGTCAGTTACAGTAGAGAGAAACCATAGTCCCTAAGTGTCAGTTACAGTAGAGAGAAAAGTCCCATAGTCCCTAAGTGTCAGTTACAGTAGAGAGAAAATATAGTCCCTAAGTGTCAGTTACAGTAGAGAGAAAATATAGTCCCTAAGTGTCAGTTACAGTAGAGAGAAAACCATAGTCCCTAAGTGTCAGTTACAGTAGAGAGAAAACCATAGAGAAAAATATAGTCCCTAAGTGTCAGTTACAGTAGAGAGAAAATATAGTCCCTAAGTGTCAGTTACAGTAGAGAGAAAACATAGTCCCTAAGTGTCAGTTACAGTAGAGAGAAAACCATAGTCCCTAAGTGTCAGTTCAGTTACAGTAAGAGAGAAAAATATAGTCCCTAAGTGTCAGTTACAGTAGAGAGAAAATATAGTCCCTAAGTGTCAGTTACAGTAGAGAGAAAATATAGTCCCTAAGTGTCAGTTACAGTAGAGAGAAAAAATATAGTCCCTAAGTGTCAGTTACAGTAGTCATAGTCCCTAAGTGTCAGTTACAGTAGAGAGAAAATATAGTCCCTAAGTGTCAGTTACAGTAGAGAGAAAATATAGTCCCTAAGTGTCAGTTACAGTAGAGAAAAATATAGTCCCTAAGTGTCAGTTACAGTAGAGAGAAAACCATAGTCCCTAAGTGTCAGTTACAGTAGAGAGAGAAAAGTCCCTATAGTCCCTAAGTGTCAGTTTACAGTAGAGA